TTTTCCTCCAAAATTCTTGTGAAATCTGGGCTTTGTCTTTTCAAACAACCTATACAAAGTTGTTTAAAAGATTCAAAACATTAATTACAATGAAAAAAAATAATGTTTTCTGAAATATTTACAAATGTACTGTAATTTAATAATCCACAGCCGCAAAGGCATTAGCTCTCTAGTTTCTGCAGTCTCATGCTTTAGTTGTCAAAAATGAATTGTTTTCATCCATTCATGTACTATTTGAATGAACTCACAACCTTAGCAGCAGGAGCATGAATTATTTCACCAAAATAGATTTTCAACAGTTTACTTACAAGTTTTATTCGTGTTGGGTCAGACTGTTCATTTGGAAATAAAACTTGGAACTGTTCCTATGGAGATACACTCCATCATGGGTACCATAAATGATGCCTGCCTTCTATAGGTCTAAGACAATATGCATACTTAGTGCATGTACTATGCACTTCCCTCAATATTACTATCTCAGAGCTTCTCTGTCTGCATTCTTATAATAGAAAGTGATACCGTCAGTTGCATTTCATTATTTTGTCACTAGCATTTCAAATATCAAGGGCTCTCTATTATTATTTGCTGGGTTTTGGTTTTTTTTTTAATACTTGTTGCTTTTTTACTTGGTATTGGTGGGAGAAGCAAATTATCAATTGTCAACAATAGGATAATCACTACCAGTTTAAAATAATGTTGCGTTCCCTAATAGCAGTTCATGAAACATTTATTAGAGTCAACAATAATTCAATAAGTTGGAGGGAAACAGAGCTTTGGGGTGACAGTCACACATGTCAATACACTGATTTATTCATCTCTTCACTTTACATAACTTTGTTAGATTTCATCAACCTATAGGGTTTCTCCTTTTGGTAGTCTTTGGTAGCGTTATAGAGATAACAGGTTGGCGTCTACAAAGTCTATACATGTACTATGTACTATGGCAAAACCATGTCAACCAATACGAACTGAGTGGGCACCGGCACGGTACGGGTTATCGACGGCCAGACCGAAGCGGGAGCGGTCCGCTATGGTGGCCCTGAAGGGACATCGCATATCGCAAACGTGTGCGCATACGTATGCGATGTCGCGAAATTTATTGCAAATGTGTGCGCACACGTATGCGATGTCGCAAAATTTATCGCGAATATGTGCGCACACGTATGCCATGTCGCGAAATTTATCGCGAATATATGCGCACACGTATGCGATGTCGTGAAATTAATCGCGAATATGTGCGCACACGTATGCGATGTCGCAAAATTTATCGCGAATATGTGCGCACACGTATGCGATGTCGCGAAATTTATCGCGAATATATGCGCACACGTATGCGATGTCGTGAAATTAATCGCGAATATGTGCGCACACGTATGCGATGTCGTGAAACAATTCGCGAATATGTGCGCACACGTATGCGAATTTGTTTGCAATGTCGTGAATTTTATTGCATACCTTGTCGCATACCTTTCAGTAAAATTCCTAATGAACTGGGGAGTTGTAGCAGCTAGTCTGGAATCTAGACGTACTGTTAGATATAAATAGGGTCTGACTAATAAACCTTCGCGCGCACGCTGTTCCTCGTGCAATCGTTACTACTAGTACTGTCGAGCGCAAACTTGCTACTTGCGCAACTTTGAAATTTGCGCGCGCAAGTTTCAAACTTGTGCGCGCAAATTTGGTGATTCTTACAACTTTAATCGTTTCATGATCAAGACCTATCATAGTCCAACTTAATTTATTTTCAAGTAGCAGACAATAAAACTTACCTTGTTGTAGCGAGAGCTTCGACAGACACAACATGGAGACAAGAAGAAACGTGCAGATAGCTGGCGCGCCCATTGCGCTTTCCAAAGAAATAGTCTTCCTGGCTCTTGGAAGGGGTACTACTCGACCAAACCTCTCTCAACAATCCTGCTTTATAGGTGATCCGAAAAGCTGTCGGACAATTATATGTACAAAACCGACCATGCATCAGACTGGGGTAGACAGTTTCTCACCAATTTGATTGATGTCTGCCTGCACTTTGCGTTTCTAATAATGCTTTTCAAAGCGATGCCCTCATGCACGACATGCTTTCGCAAGTAGTCAGATCTGCGTAGCGATTAATAATTGTCAACATTCCTTTGATATTTACCGGCATGTATCAATTTTTATAAGAGTCACTGCGGGTTGAAGCAAAAGGGGATAAAGCGGACGCCTCCACTGAGTTCAACGTTGATACCAGAGTGACACGGTCAATGTGGGTTTTTTTTATATTGAAAACAAGAACAGCAATATGGAGGATGATATCACTCTGTATAGTTCAGTTTAGTTTACATGTACTTTTTTTTTCATTTTCGCAGTGCCAACAAGAAATCCTCGCTGGATTAATGAATAATATGGATCATAATAAATGACATATCATTCAGATATCATGGAAATGGCTGTAGTTACATGTTCACAAAATATTGCGACTTTTATGATGATGAAGGGCTACCAAGAACATTTTCGAATTGAATCCCAAATAGCCAAATGTACAAATTTCAAAGATGTTCTAAAACAAGCTACATGTACAATGAAATCCAACTCCGAAAACTCAAAAAAACTATTTGGTCAAACAAAGAATCTATTGCCTTTAGTAGTGTACCAATGATATACCACCCTGCTTAACTCAAAAATCTGCTTAAGTCAAACTTTGAATCTGTTCCCTTGAGGTTTAACTGTAAGGTTTCACAGTAATTATAATTATTTTGAACAAGCAACAGTCCTTGACGTCTGTCCATGCATACCTTTAACTAAATTGCATGCCTTGAGTTGAATTAATCAATTGATTTTCCTCTGAGTTGTAATCTATGTGCATCACCACTTTGATCGGGTTCCAGAGTCCGGGTTAAGGACTTGGGAGAGAGATTCGATCGTCTACCCGTGTTTACGAGTTACACGCTTGAGTATACTCTCACTCAGATCAGACCAAAAGTATTCTCGAGCGGAAGAGGTTTTGTCACCTGATTCAAATCAAAAGAAAGTATGTGAAGTTAACCCGTGCAGTGTCGTCTGCTGACGTTTATATGACTTTGGTTGCTGGATATCTTGAGCAGACAACAGAGAAATTACAGTATCAGAAGATTGCTTGAGCAGTGCGAAAGTGTGCAGTCATGGAAAAGTATTGCTAATGAAATGAAATGAAAGGCCGGTTGTAAATGTTACAGGTGAGCCAAGTTTTAATACATGGAAAGCCATTAAGCGCGCATATAAAGATACAATAGATCATATTAAGATGACTGGTGCAGACAGGAAGAGCTGTAAATTATATGAGGAGTTAGATGCTCTTTAAGGAAGCCGTCCCGGTACATCTACTCTGCGTACAACGAAGCCTAAAGAATCTGAAGTTCAGAGTTCAAGTAGTGTGGCCGAGACCACACCCCGCGAGTAATTTAGCCTTTTTAAGATAGTGGCAGACACATAGGGAATGCTGTTTGATTTGGGTTAAGCCTTTTGTATTTACCCAAACGAAATAGCGCCCTCCTATTGCGTCCGCTATTATCTTAAAGAGGCTAATAGGATAACCGCTGGAAAGTTCGTGTACAGCGTGCGTGTTCAATCTTTACTAAGCGTCAAGATTACTTGAAGACAACCTCGTCTCCAGGGTGTCGAGCAGTACGCGTCCACCACGTACTACCTGCTCTCTCACCCTGGTGTTGGATCATTTGCATGTGCAAGATTTTCGAACACGTACGTTTGAAAATGAGGAGTAGTCTGGTGCCTGCATGAGCGTTACATTAGCGTTTGTTTTTGTATGCGGTGTCTGGGGTAAAAACAGCATCAATTAGTCGCGCCAAGAGTTATGAAAGCAATTTTTTGCAGTTAAAATGTTACAATCTGGCCCGCCAATAAATGCAGTATCACGTCTTATAAATATGATTAAACTGGAAGGAGTATTTTTGAGAAGGCGTGGACGTTATAATTACAATGATCGTGAAAACACGTAATGCACAAACTACACGATATAAATCAATTACTATCAAATTAATTGCGGTATCGAATCAGGAAGGAAGTTTCCTATCCAAGGCTTACTATTGAAAACGAGGTTGGAAATAAAGTAAGCACTGGGGACGCTATCCCGTCCGCCCTAGTGGAACTCGGAAAATGTAATGCGTTTGCGTCCCACATCGCACACTGCCTTCGGCCTCGCGGCAAGTGGGACACACAAGCACTACATACATTACTTCGTGTTCCACTCGCGCTCGTGGGATATTTTCATTTTCAGAAATTATACACGTAGAATATTATCCTACGTGTATAATTTCGGGAAAAAAATCAGTAACGCCTCAGAATTCTTTCAAAATGTTCTGATTCAGTATTAGAGATGGAATGCAAACAACTGTGCAGTACAAAATACTACTGTCCTTGAAAAATACCGAAGTCGATCCCTTTATACACATGTACACAATGAAGAACATTTTCACTTAAACTACTCTTGTGACGTCACTCTATTCAGTACAGTGCAATTTCTTAAAGAAATCTACACTTTGCTGTAGATTCTTAAAAGGATCTGCACTTAACTGTAGATTGTTTTAAGAATCTACCGTTTTCGTTGTGAATAACCTCTGCAAATATGTTATATATAAACGGGACTAATTTGAAGAGTAACAGTCCAGTTTCAAATTCATGATAATTTATTTTTGGGGGTAAAATGTACAAATTTAGGGTATATTTGGCAATAATTTGACATGTACCTGATTTTAATAACAACTATTCTAACGGGAAAGATTCCCACATCTCGCCATCAGTAATTTTCCCTAAAATGACCTATCAACCATCAGAAAGTGATAATATATTGTGGCGGGAATATCTGTGACCCGATCCGTAGTCCCTTTACCCAGACAACATAGCTTAGGATCAGTACCCCAGCAGCCGGGAATGCAGGCCCGTTTGGATGGAAATATACCGCCCTATACGCGTAACAGCACTCACCCACGCCCCTCAACCTTCAAGATGGACAAGGACAGACAATTAAGTACACAACAGTCAATGACCTCAATTACTGATTGATTTATTTACACAGAATCAATGTCATATGATGGACCTCTCGTTAAATTATAATGTTAGCCTCTAATAAGTGATTGGTCTCTGAGCCTCTCAATTATCTCTGTAGGGGTAGCCTCGCATTAGCCGCTACGGTAAGGCAGTGCTGGGCAGCACGGCAATGCCTGGCTGGGGATAGCCTCTGAATCCCGGGTAAGAACCGTACGCCTCCAGCGTTCCTGTGCGCCTCCACTCTCCCGCCCTCGACCGTTTCCAGTCGCAATCCTTCCTCGAGGCGGCGGGTAGATGAGCGCGCCCTTCCGGCTCCGTCACATTACAATCGGCAGATCGCTGTATGTCGCTCCGCCTCCAGTAGCCTCCGCGGACTCCGTGCCTCCTTATGCCAGCCCGACTTCACCGCACCACCCAGCACACGCCCGTCAGCGCGCGCGAGCTAATTTGCCTACCGTCTCTTCCCCGCAGATGATCTCGGCGTACGCTCGGTCTACTGAGCTGTGTCTACCTGAGCTGAGTCTACAGATGACGTCTCGCAACTGCCCCGGGGCCTTATATAGGGCCCACAGCCGCGAGCGCGCCCTCTCTAGACTACGCTGCTATAGTAATTTTCGCCACAAAGCCTCCTTCTTAGCATGAACGTCCTCGTTCATAACAGCTAAAGACCTGATATTCAAAAGCAAATTACTCAAAACTTTCTTATCAAAACTTTTAATCTAAACAACGAAAAGGTCCATAACGTCAACACGTCGGCGCCTCTTTATACATGCGCCTCATAAAGGAAACATAGTTAACTTTATAAAACTCTGAGAAAACTTGATAGAAAACTTTATAAACTTTTAAGAAACTTTAAGAAAACTTATATAAAGGTTTTAGAAAACTCTGTATAAACTTAAGAAATGATGGCTTAGAGAAACGAGCCTAACTCATAGGAACCGGTACGAAACATGTTGCCTCTGTGATCTCTCGGATGCGCTGTTACTTCTTGCGGAAATCTTGGTCGAACTGGACATCGTACACCCTCTCCAACCGCTGCTCACGAACTTTCACACCCTCCTTGTACTCGAGGGTGGTCGACACCTCCTTCACTCGGGTAACCCTGCCCCTCAGTACCTCTTCCAGGGATGTCACGTGGATTGGGCGCAGATCCTCTCGGATGTGCGCAGCTGCTCCGTTGTTGGGTGCTGCCTCAGCCGCCTCATGTTGTTGCAACTCTTCCGCCTCCTCTTCACTGCTATCCACGTGGTCCTGCTGGGCTATAAGGAGCATCCCCCGAGGCTTACCACCAAGTGGCTTACGCACTGGGGCTGGCACATCTTCTTCTAGCAAGGACAAAGAGGCCGGTGACAAAGACAGTCCTCCACTCGCCTCCGGTCCTGAAATCGAGAGATCCAGGGGGCCTCCTTGAGTGATTGTACTCTGCTTAGCGGACTTCCGCTTGGCTGGCGGTTCCTCCTGTGCCTCTGGCTCACTTTGAGTCGGTCGCTTCTCTCCCCGTGGTTGTTCGTCGACGTCGTCTTCCTGATGGAGTATACGTAGCGCCTCTGCCCATGTCTCAGCATCTCCAAGATCCTTCACCTTCCGTCCCTCTGTTCTCTTCACCACCATCCGTCTGGTCTCCTTTACCGCTTTTTCTCCCTCTTCCGAACGTCGCCTCTGCGCCCGCTCTCTCTCAGTCTCCAAGGGGAGAAGATCCACCTCATGGATGTGGGCCTCGTGATTCTGACGGTAGTGTCTTCGCAAGTTATCCTTCCTCGTACTCTTGAAGGGACACCGTACGCACCAAGCGAAGATCTGAGACGGGCCATGACCCACCTGTCTATGTCGGGCCAGGCTGGTCCTGTGCTGAAACGTCAGTGAGCACTCTTCACATGTGAACTTTTTCTTTTCCTGCTCCTTCATTGTGTTCAGTCGTCGTCACCTAATAAGTAAACAATAAAAACAAATTGATAAGTTACTGAATTTGTACAGAATTATATACTGCCTAACGGAAACGGAGAGGTAGCCTCCTTTCCCTCCGTGGGTTTCTTCGATTCTGGCTTACAGGATCATTCTCCGTGTCCTGCATAGTCTCTGTAATTCCGTCTCCGTCAATGCTCCCTATGTCAAGTACTGGGTCAGTTTGTTTGTCCTCCTCTACACCCCTGTCAGGAATCGTTTCCTCGTCACTCCTCTGGTGATGCCTACCTGCAGGCGATCGCTCCTGATCCACACGAGGCGGAGTTTCAGTGACTTGTCTCGGAGGTTCTGTTTGCCAAGACTCCATAGGAGTGCCTTTGTAAGGCTTCAGTCTATCGAAATGAACCACGAGCATCTTTCCTCTGGGTTTGTCTTGTACCCTGTAGTTAACGTCCGACAGCTTCCTTATGATGAGGTACGGCCCTTCCCATCTTGAAACTAACTTTTGGGAGGCCCCTTTCTTCCTTGCATGGTTATACAACCAGACGAAGTCACCTTCCTCATAACCTGCACCCTCAACTCGTCTGTCGTACGACAACTTTTGGCGTCTAGCACAAGTCTTGGTTTGTTCTCTGGCTCGCTCGTGGGCCTTTTGCATCCTCCTGCGCAACTCCTCCCCATAGTCTGTCTTTGGTTCCATAGCCTCGTCATCAGGAGGAGGCGCTTCTATAGTAAGGTCCACCGGCAGCATAACCTCCCTGCCCAACATGAGCATGTTCGGAGTCTCGCCTGTTGATTCTTGTGGTACCGATCTGTATGCGAATGTAGCAAAGGGGAGTTGCTGGTCCCAGTCTCTCTGGTTACGATGGGGGTCTAGCATCATCGCCACCGTATCGATAAGTGTCTTGTTATACCGCTCCACTAATCCATCTGACTTGGGGTTGTAGGCAACCGTGCGAGTTTTCTGAATGCCTAGTATCTGACACATCTCGGCGAAGACGTCCGCCTCGAAGTTGCGACCCTGATCTGAGTGCAATTCCTTTGGTACGCCATATCGGCAAACGAAGTTCTCTACAAATGCCTTGGCTACCGTCTCGGCTGTACTGTCGGGGAGGGCGTAAGCCTCCATCCACTTGGTGAAGTAGTCGGCTATAACAAGCACCCATTTGTTGCCTCTCTCCGTCGCCGGCATTGGGCCGACGAGATCCAACGCCACCCTTTCCATCGGAGCGCCGATTCGGTACTGTCTGAGTGGTGCACGCCTTTTCCGAGCAGGCGACTTTCGTTTAGCACAGATATTGCATTTCCTGCACCAGGCTCTCACGTCCGCCGCCATTCCAGACCAGTAATATCTCAACCTCAACTTTGCTAGTGTGCGACTGATTCCAAAGTGTCCTCCGGTCTTCCCTCCATGCAACTCATCCATCTTCGCCTCTCGAAGGCCGACTGGGAGGACTATCTTCCACTTTACCTCCCTACCGTCGTTCGATTCCCATCGCCGACATAACACTGACTGTCTCATCTCTAGCTGGTCCCATTGCGACCAATAAACTTTGACCGCAGTTGCACGGGAGGACATGCTCTTCCAATCTGGCCTCTGACCTGACTCCTCTTTCCCAAGTACTACCCAGGCAATGGAGGGGTCTTCCAGCTGACCCTCCCGCAATTCGTCTGTGGTAACGTTTGGCTCGGCCACAACCACTCTCACATCCGCCGGCGTAGGTGCCTCTACAGTATCGTCGTCCACTCGTCCACACTGCTTGCACGGTCGACGTGACAGGCCGTCTGCATTTCCATGTTTCTTCCCAGGGCGATGAACTATTTCATAGTTGTACTGCCCAAGCACCTCCAGCCATCGAGCGATCTGCCCCTCTGGGTTCTTAAAAGTGACTAACCACTTTAATGCCGCATGGTCCGTTCGTACAGTTATCTCTTGTCCGTATAGGTACTGCTTGAAGTGTTTAAGATAGACAATAATTGCAAGGAGCTCTCTGCGCGTCACGCAATAATTCCTCTCGGGCTTGGAGAGTGTACGGCTCGCGTAGGCAATAACGCGCTCCTCTCCATTTTGTACTTGAGACAAAACAGCTCCGATGCCGACTCCGCTAGCATCTGTATCCAATATGAACTTGCCCTTGGGTTCTGGGTATGCCAGTATTGGCGCCTCTTGCAGGTGAGTCTTCAAGGTTTGGAACGCCTCCTGGCATTCGTCACTCCAGTGGAAGACACGTGCTTTCTCAGTTAGCCTATGGAGCGGGCGAGCCACATCAGCAAAACCTCTGATGAATCTTCTATAATACGAGGCCAACCCAAGAAAACTCCTCAGTCCTCGGACGTCAGTCGGAGTTGGCCAAGATCTTATCGCCTCCAGCTTGTCTGGATCGGTAGATACTCCCTCCGGGGACACCACATGTCCCAGATACTTAACCTGCTGTCGGAAGAGGTGGCATTTCCCTGGCTTTAATTTAAGTCCAGCCCCACGTAACCTCTGCAGAACCTCCCTCAAACGGTTGATTTCCTCCATGATGGTTCGTCCATACACAATAACATCGTCTAAATAGACGAGCAAGGTTTCCCACTGGAGGCCACGCATTATCCTCTCCATGAGCCTCTCGAATGTGGCGGGGGCATTGCACAGACCGAAGGGCATAACCCTCCAGCTGTACAATCCCCCGCGCACAACAAAGGCAGACTTCTTCTGAGCCTCTTCATCAAGTTCGACTTGCCAATAGCCGGAGGCAAGATCTAGGGTTGAAAACCATCTTGCCCCCGCTAGTGCGTCAAGGGTGTCATCGATTCGTGGGACGGGGTAAGCGTCCTTGATCGTCCTTTCATTGAGCCCTCTGTAATCCACACAAAACCTCTGCGTTCCGTCCTTTTTCCGAACGAGAACTACATTGGACGCCCACGGGCTGTCGGACGGCTCTATAATCCCCCGTTTTAACAAGTCATCCACTTGCTTGTCGATCTCCTTTTGCTTACACAGGGGTTGTCGCCTCGGTCTTTCCCTAACAGGTCTGGCACTTCCGGTGTCTATGGTGTGTTTCACCCTGTCAGTCCTCCCTAGGTCGTGGTCTCCTCTGGAAAATACATCCGAGAACTCCGACAGCAACCCAGCAACGGCGTAATGATAGTGCGTATCTAGCCCTTCAACGCTTCGCTTCCAGAGGTCCTGAAGGTGTCCGGGGACATGTACATCTTCGGATCCTTTTTCCATAGCCTCCTGTCGCACCTCATCGACATCCTCTTCATCCACTGGGGTGAGGCAGGCGGCAGTAACCCCACAGCGCAAAATGCACTTCTGCCTCCCTGGGTTCAATACCCGCACCGGTAGTGTACCTCCATCCATGTTCACCAGTGACCTCGCAACTATAAGGCCCTTATCCGCTACCACGCCGCCTCCTTCGACTGGCTCTATCACACCAACATGAAACGAATCAAGTGACTTATCCATCCTCCCTGGTATAATGGTTTCATGTCCCGGCGGTATGACAGTAGTTCTGGCTACCACAATCCTCGCGCATAACGCTGTTCCCCATCGGCTTGTACACTGGATGTGTTCTCCATGCAACACGAGCTCCAAGGCCTTAAAGTCCAACATTCCTCCCGTTGGTATGAGAAAGTCCATTCCCAGAATTCCTTGTGCCTTAACCTTTGCAAAAACTGCACGTACTGGAAAAACGGTTCTTCCTACCTGAACCTCAATTTGTGCCACACCCAAAGTTTCTATCGGTGTCCCATCCGCCTGAAACACTTTTAAGCCATCTGTCTCTAGCCTCGGCCGCCTCTCAGCTGGAATTCTGTAATACACCTCGGCTGAAATAACTGTATCAGTGGTTCCGGTATCCACAAGGAGCGGAATGTCAAGGGAACGAATTTTCCCCTTAACATAAAGTCCTTTCTTGGGAGAAATTGTTGGCACAAGTACCTTCCGTTCAACTTCCGGGATATTACTACTTGAGTTTGGTTTTAGATTGAGGGTTGACCCTGCTGTGGTTTCAGCCCTTCCTCGGGTCCTAGGAGAGGCTGATTGCCGTTTCCCTGAGGCTTAGTTTTATTTCTCTTTTCCGGACAATCTCGTAAAAAGTGTCCATACCCTTGACAATGATAGCACCGGTCCCCTGGGGTTGCACGTCGCCTCTGGTGGAAACGGTATACCCTGGTGTCACGCCTCTTCTTTGTTTGACCCGCCTCGTCCAAAGTTTGGTCCGTCTGTTGTTCTGCGCCATGCTGAACGACATCCTCCACGGCGTCCTCCAGCACCCTACATTTTCCAGTGCCGAATTTTGGCCCATTCCTTTGAGCCTCAATCTTCTCGAAGTTTTCAGTTGCTAGGGCTGCCCGTATCGCCTCATCAAGTGTGGAAGGATTGGCCCGGAATACCCCCTCTCGAATAGACTGACTAGCTATCGCATCAGAGAAGTGTCCTCTTGCGAGGCGGTCCCTTGCGGTTTCCGTAAACTCCGGGTACGAAAATGATGCCAATTCACGTACCGCCTGGCCGAGCTCCTGTATGGTTTCCTTCGGCTTCTGCCTCCTATTCCTTAACTCCAAGAGGAAATTCTCTGCGCGCTCTCCAGGTCCAAAACGCCCATCCAAAAGCTTGAGAAGTTCGCTGTATGAATGCCTCTTCTTCTCTCCGTCCCCATGGTGAAGAAGTATCTTTAGTGCCGGACCCTGGAGGCTCGCCGACAGAAACACCGCCGCCTCCTCGTCATCCCATCTATTGGCTATTTTACATGACTCAAAGTGTTCCTTGTAGTCTATCCACGGTTGTTTATCTCCGAAGCGGTCTGGTACAATCCTTGGGCGACCCGAGCTCTTAGTCAGCCTCTCTTGTAACTGCTTCTCACCGATTATGTTTTGATCTCGTTTAAGAGGCCATGGTGTCTCCTTATTAGAGGCTCCTGCGCCTCCTATTTCACGAGCTGGCTCCTCACTTTTCTCTAGTTCACTTATGACCTCCACTGGCTTCGGTAACTCCACGATTGCCTCCACAGGTGGCGTTGTGTCTCCTCTAATGCCAGTTGATTGTGCCTGTGGCATCCAAGACTTATTCTTCTTCATGATACTCCTTGGAGGCGTCCAGTTACCTCCAGTAGCCTCCTGCCCTATGTCCTGCACCTGGGAAATTGAGGCAAGTCCAGTGTGTACACCTGAATCCAGCGAAGTCCCCTGACCTATTATGCTCTTCCAAGCATCCTCTAGTCGAGATATCCTACTCATTAGTTTCTCTATTGTAGCCTCCTGGCGTGAACTCTCCTCCATTGAACGCTGGAGCTCATCTTCCCTTCCCTGGAGGTCCACTCGGAGACTGTCAACCTCCTCCTGAAGTTCCTTAGCAGTCTGGTCTGTCATTATTAGTTTGTGTCTTCGTCTTACTTAAATTAAGTCTGATCTATTTGAGGCGTCCTATCTATTGATAATTGTCCTCGCCTCCCCAAGGATGAGAACGTGGGCAAATGGCAGCTAGGCGTATAATCCCACTTCTGACACCATTTGTGGCGGGAATATCTGTGACCCGATCCGTAGTCCCTTTACCCAGACAACATAGCTTAGGATCAGTACCCCAGCAGCCGGGAATGCAGGCCCGTTTGGATGGAAATATACCGCCCTATACGCGTAACAGCACTCACCCACGCCCCTCAACCTTCAAGATGGACAAGGACAGACAATTAAGTACACAACAGTCAATGACCTCAATTACTGATTGATTTATTTACACAGAATCAATGTCATATGATGGACCTCTCGTTAAATTATAATGTTAGCCTCTAATAAGTGATTGGTCTCTGAGCCTCTCAATTATCTCTGTAGGGGTAGCCTCGCATTAGCCGCTACGGTAAGGCAGTGCTGGGCAGCACGGCAATGCCTGGCTGGGGATAGCCTCTGAATCCCGGGTAAGAACCGTACGCCTCCAGCGTTCCTGTGCGCCTCCACTCTCCCGCCCTCGACCGTTTCCAGTCGCAATCCTTCCTCGAGGCGGCGGGTAGATGAGCGCGCCCTTCCGGCTCCGTCACATTACAATCGGCAGATCGCTGTATGTCGCTCCGCCTCCAGTAGCCTCCGCGGACTCCGTGCCTCCTTATGCCAGCCCGACTTCACCGCACCACCCAGCACACGCCCGTCAGCGCGCGCGAGCTAATTTGCCTACCGTCTCTTCCCCGCAGATGATCTCGGCGTACGCTCGGTCTACTGAGCTGTGTCTACCTGAGCTGAGTCTACAGATGACGTCTCGCAACTGCCCCGGGGCCTTATATAGGGCCCACAGCCGCGAGCGCGCCCTCTCTAGACTACGCTGCTATAGTAATTTTCGCCACAATATCATAGAAAGTCAAAATTAGCAGGGACAATTTTTAATTTTTTACAGAGAAAACAGAAATTTTCAGACCAGTCCCATAGGGTTTGTGCACAGGGTGACTTGTGATAGCCAGATATGGGAATCTTTCCTTCCAAAGGTGCCTTTAAGTATTTTGGTTAATCCTTTGCAGCTTTGCTTTTTTAACACAATGTTCAGATTGTAGCTTAACTTGAAAACCGGTTCTGCCTTGCTATTTTCCTAGCCAGAAAACCACTTCTTTTTAAGAAAACACAAGTAAGTCGCATGGTGGCGCTATTTTCAAGATGGCTGTGGATTGTGATTGTGATAGATATTGCATATTGACGTCTTGACGGTATGTGACGATTGAATGATACAAGTATAACGACGTTTCGATTGTTGGCGTCTGAAATTGTAAACAGTTATCTGTAATTTTGAACATTTTTTTTGCTATACAAATTGTGATTGAAATTTTCTCACGGGCTTTGCGGCTGGCGCCATGCGAATCAACGCAGTTTTGTTTGCAATTGCATCATGATCCGGCATGTCCGGGCATTGGCATTGCGATTTTATGCGAATGCGATTTGCGTATTGCGGTGATCGCCATCTTTCAGTCTTTATTGAGTGGTCGGGCACAACCCAACCACTGTTTTTTAGTGTTTGGATTTGTTTTCATAAATCTTCTTTCTTTCTTTCCTTTTTTTCCGGACAATCAGGCATGCAACTTTTCCTCGGATCAGCTGATTTTCTCTTTTTTTACTTCCCGTGCCATTGAATTTTGAAAATAGAAAAACACTGTACAAAATCGTGGAAAGATTTGAGTTTCCTCTTTTTTTTGTGTCTTGCCAGTTGCATGCCTGACAATACTTCTCCGATGGTTTTCTCTGTTGGTAGGCCTATGAACTTTTAACTTTAAATATCGACCCTCGTTCAAAGTGGTGCATATTACTCTGACGTCATGATTACATCATCGGGTGTCTAATTACAAGTGATTTTATCAGAAAAAGTGACGAATTACTTCCCTCTTTAACTCTTGAACTATATTGTTGATGTACCCTAACGTGGCGCGGCCCCCAACGTGACGCACTTTAATTTTTCGCCTGTAGCGCCTAGCTAGAGCAAACGTTTTAACTGAAATTTCACAGAAAGTAACATTTTCATCAAGTTCTAAACACTCCCGTTCATAAATCGTCATTTTATTCACCCGTTACAAAGTTATAAGACAAAATTATTTTGGCGTGATTTTCCGATTTTATTTTTAAGTGCAAAGTGAACACTTTGAAAATGCCCCGAAAAATAAGAAAATAATTTTCTGACAAACATCTGGCTGGGTATGTATGTAGAGATAATAATGATTTATCAGAATTTATCAAGTTAACAGAAATTCTTAAATGTTAATTTGGAATTTTCCGAGATTTATTTAAGTGCGCCACGTTAGGGAACACTCCACGAATTTGTGCCCTATTTCCGGACGCCACCGTTTTTGAATTTCGGATTAAATTTTAAGAAACCGAAATAGTTCACAGAGGTTAAATAGCATGCATTAATAAGGTCAAAGTACCAGTATTTTACTGCATGAATTTGAGGTTTGTCAACAAAGCGGTTTGGCAACACTACACAAGGAAAGTTGGGTTTCAAGCTTCGAAGTGCGCCATGTTAGGGAACACGACTATATATAATCAATGGTGATTGTATTCTGTAATAATCAGAAAGACCGTTAATTGCTAAACATTTTTTGTTGTCCTGAATACTTTCTTTGTTTTTTCAGGAGGTCTTCTTGAAAGCAGCACTGAATTAAGCTTTTACTATCAAAATGATGAGGAGTATCAAAGACAAATACTTTGCTGATTATTTATCTATGTGTATGTTGTTGTTCACATCAGATAGTGTTGTTGGTTCACGTTGTCATGGAACTATTAACAAAGCCTACCTGAGTATGGCCGTGAGTTCACCACCCCTGACCGAACCGCCCAGACTCCTGGACTTGCTTCTTGACTTCTGCATAACTCACGTGGAGACGTTGTGCGACACCGGCAATGGCGGCAAGACACCTCGGTGCCTACGTCCCGACGTCATCATCCCGGCCAACATGGCCGACCTGCTGCTGGCCAGAATCAGCCGGCAGGGCCTGGGCTGGCACAAGCTGGACCGGTTTGTCGGGGTGTTCTGCAACACGGAGCAGGCCAGCTTGCAGAGAGTTGATCTGAGTCGGTCCAATATCACAGACAGGGCCATAGCGTACCTGGCGCGCCATCGACTGCTGGAGCTGAACCTTGCAGAGTGTCCCAAGCTGACATCTGCCTGCCTGCCGGACTTGTTGCGGCAGCCAGCACTCAAAGTACTGGACATCAGCAGGGATGCTGCTGCCCTTGCTGGCTACGGACTCCCTCGCTTTGAATTCCCTTTAGAGAACCTCCGGGTCCTGAACATTGGGTTCACCGACCTCAGCAGTACGCAGCTGCACTGTCTGGTGAAGCAACTTGTGAATTTGGTTTCACTGGATGTGTCGGGCGTGGTACAGAACGGCGACTTGCTGTTCTTGAGGCCGCTGTGTGGGCAGCTGCGCTTTCTTGTGCTGCATGACTGTATGCTTGTTGAGAGCAGCCTTGAATATCTCTGCAGTTTGACACAGCTCAGGTATTGAAGTTCGGGATTTGAAATCTGGAATTTAAAAAAAAAAATGGGTTGTTCAGATTGGGTAGAAATAGACCAATACATTAGGCCCCACCAACCATACACATGGGCAAATATAATGGCTGGTATATAAATATTACTTACAACAGATAACATCAATAGTTCAATATACATGCACACATATTGACTGGCAACAAGGTCAATAGTACACAACTATGTACCCTGAGGGACTATGGGACACCACCAGATCCGGCATAGGAAAAATGGGCCCTATTGTTGTCACATGTAGTCCAAAGAATGCATAGATGTTGCGCTAGGACCCACTCCTTAAAGTTTCATTAAAATGTTTATGCACAAGCTTACATGTGTATCAGTGAACCCTATTTATTTGCAAACTATTTTTGCTAACCAGAGAAGAATAAGCCAAACTTGTTAAAACTAGAGTTACTAAAGTCTTTCATTCTGCTGGACTTGAGTTTCCCATACTGAAGGGTTAAGACAAAATTACACTTTTCTTTTTGCAGGCATTTAGACATCTCTATCGTTGACACCAAGCAACGAATTACGCTAACAAATAAATTTTTGAGGAGGCTAGTCAAAAGTTTGCAGCATCTGGTATCTCTTGACATATCTGGTAACACCTATGAGAACAAAAAGACGGAACGACAACGGTGAGCTAAAGTTTGTTTTAGAGCATGGCTGTTTTCTTTAATTAGGGCAAGATACAAATTCAAGATTGGGTTTTGCCCTTCAACAACGTATTTGATCAACACTGTATACTCAGTGTTGCCCCTGAGTGATTTGTGAGAAAAAAAATCAGGTGGGACTCGAACCCACGACCTCCTGCTTACTAGCACAGACTTGTTACTACTCGACCATCGAACCCGCGACCTCCTGCTTACTAGCACAGACTTCTTTCCATCGAGCTTGCCGGGGTCGAATCAGATATAGCTGCGGGTACCGCAATGAAACTGTTCACAAGATGGAAATCCATCTTATGAATAGGATACACAATATTTGAACTAGTTAAGCAGCAGGTCATGTACATACATTTGAGCCCCAGTCACATAAGGCCAAAAAAAAAAAGTTTCTGGTTTCTGGTATGGAGCTTGCCCAAAAAGTGGTGCGGCGACGCGGCTTTTTTTTTTTTTTTTACCTGATTTTTTGGCTTCAAATCATTGAAATGTCGGCTGATGACTGCAAATGGTGCCCGACTAAACTTAGTGCAAATATATGGGAGTCCAGAGAGGCCACATGAAGCTTATTCTCCACCATAACCCAATTTAAAAACACGTTAAAATTGTGCAGCAGCAGGATTCCAGTCAAACCAGTGAGTTTGGCGGTTTTGAGACATCATCTTTCATTGAAAAAAAAAACTTTTTCATTTTGCCAACGCGCATGGCTACGGCGACGCGCGCGCATACCAGAAACCGGAGACTTTTTTTTTTGGCCTAAGCAAGGACATGTGTAAAACACAATGAACGCTCAAGAAAAATTTTGAAATTTACAAATCTGCTTAAAAAAAATGCCCGACTGCATGTCTGACTTTACTGTTCCCAATGTGGGACTTATTTCTTGTCTTCCGAATAATTTATTCGGCATGATTAGGGAATGTCAGTTGAAGTTGGTGTGACAAATCCTCCATTGATTCCTTTCAATCGGCCATGAGATGAATTTTACACTTGTGTGTATTCGTAGCAAATTTTCAAACTTAAGAAATGTATAAAAACTATGAGTCATCTCAAGTTGGTAATATACGTTGTAAGGTGCACTATTTGAAACATTCGAAATATCTCATGCTTTTCCTGACAACTGAGGGTGCTGATGCTGTGATGTCACTTTAGGAAAACACTCTTCAAATTAGGCTTGATCACTTAAAATCGAAAACCACAAATTGTGCTAATTAAAAAAAAGAACTTGGGGCAAAATCTTATAGTCTTACTGTCATGTACTGAAACAACAATGAATCACTTAAAGGGAATGTACATCATTGGCTTTTGCTGTGATTTTTGAAAATGGAACTATTTGAGGGGTTAGTACAATAGATCAAATTTGTTACACTGACATGTTTGAAGTTTTGTGTTCGGAAATGCTGGAAAAGCCAAGAAAAACAAAAATGTTCTAGTAGTCTGGTTCCCTGACTCCACTAAAGATGAAATGGATCAATTTGTAGATGAAAATTGAAAGGTAAGGGAACCAGTCTAGCTGGCCTGCACCCGTTTATGAACATGTAACCAATAGCAAACAAAATTTTAACTGAAAAAATGGTAAATTTGGAGCAGTAGTTGAAAAATAGTTGGGTTTTTCCAACGGTGGTCGGCCGACCACCGTTGGAAATTTATACAAAAATACCGTTTTCTTGAAAACGACTTCACACCAGGTGCCATAATTTTACAGGATGCTTTAGACTGTCATTAACCAACATCCTAGTAAGGTTTTTTCGTAAAAACTTGGTAGTTTTATTTGTGGATGTTTGCAAATGTTGTATTCCCTTTAAAGTAGACAAAGTAACCACAACAGACCCCAACGATCATGGTGACTTGTTATGCTGGAGCAGATGAGACACTGAAGTTCCTGCCTTGAATGACATCACAAATTTGCACATAAATATGGAAATTCATGTTGGCATAAAAACAGAAAGGCACCAAAATTCCTTTGAGATTGCAATTATGAAGATTACAAATAAAGTTACCAGTAAATGGGCCACAAAGGTATATTTTAAGGAATGTATTTTTAAAAAAAACCATTACGTGAGCCTTACGTGGGTTGATCCCTGCTAATTTTAAATTTCTTCTGTTTTGTTTTGTGATAGAGATGCAACTCCGCCGCCTTCTTCCAGATCTCCTTCCACTCCACAATCTGCTCCAAAAGCAGACAAAGACACATCAGGGGGTACAAACAGGAAAAACCAAGATCCAGAGCCAGAGGCAGAACACGAAGAAGCTGATGATGAGGAGATGGAGACAAGCCCGACAGTAGACAGTGATGCATTGCTGCTGCAGGTGTCGCAGCAGCAGCAGCAGCAGGGGGCTGACGGCGACACGCCCAAAGTGATCAGTTGCATCGCTGGCTTGAGGGGCTTACCCAAGCCGCTGGAGTTCCTCGGAATCCTTGGACTGGACGGGTTGGAAGAGAAAGATGCAGCGCATCTGCCTGCCATTAAGGTTTGTATTGATCCTACAGATTCCATTATTATCCAACAGAGTCCTACAAAGTATATCTGTATCCCACAAATGTCTATAAAATTAAACAATCAAACAGAACCCAACAAACTCCAACAGTTTTCCATCAGTGTAACCGTATGCAAACTCTGTTAGATATTGATAATCTTAGCATCAGATTTCCTTAGTTCCATCTGTTGGCTGCTTAATGACTCCTACAGAGAGGATCTGTATCCCACGAATCCCCCCAAATCCTACAAAATCAAACAAAATCCAACAGATGTTTCCATCAGTGTAACAGTAAGCAACACTGCTGGATAGTGATGATCTCAACATTTCTTTTGTTCCGTCCGTTGGCTGTTTTATGACTCCTAGAGTGGATCTGTATCCCACAATTCCTCCCAAATCTAGAAAAATCCTACAAAACCCATCAAAATTCATCAGATTTCCATCAATGTAAAAGTAGGCAGACTCTGATGGATATTGATGATCTAATTAGCTTTGAAAAAAAAAATCCTTTGTTCCTGCTGTTTGTTGTTAAGACTTACAAGACTCATCTTGCCTAACACTAGGTATTCAGAAGTTACTTTTTTGTCCAATTCAGCATGATCACTCGCAAATTTATACTCCCTAGATCCATTTTTTTCAAGATTAATTTGATGTTTTCTTTTTCCACCTTCACTTTCAGGTTGCGGGGACATTCACTGAAGACCACATACTCAATGCCATTGATGTCTACCTGAGACGAAAGCACTACCTGCTAGAAGGCTTGAATAGCTACTTTGATTTGCTTCGTGCGGTCGAGTGCTCTAATCCGTCAAAAGCAGTCGAGGTTTGTCGCAATAGTGTACAATCTTTTTCAGCTCTCAGCTGAAGAAAACCGTTTGCAGTTCAGGTTTTAAAAATGTTATCCAGGAATAGGGCTGGGCATCGGAATACCCGATTCCGACTGGAATACCCGTACCCGACTGGAGTACCTGACCGGTGATGTTAGAATTCGGTTCCAGATTATGGAATCGTGTACCCGTAATTAACCTTACATATTCCTTTATTAGAAACTTCTCAGACAAGAAAAAGGTTTTGAATGTCATTGATGGGGAATGTTAAAAATGAAAACTAGGCTTCATGAAAGAACAAAGCAGATTCGTGTTTATGACGCTTGCGAAAATGCAATTTGTACTGTTAAGCTAAAGAGCTCACTGTACACACTTGTATTTTTCTCTATTAATGTGGCACTGTCATTTTGCAGACCTTTATGACAAATGTGAACAACAACTTCCTAGATTTAATAGTCCTAAGACCTAATGACATCACGCTTTGTTAACGTGTGCACTATGAGAGCCAGGTTGGACGTGTCAATTATGGGGTTGGGTTTCTTTAACGGGTACCTGTGTGTCCGTGTTTTCCTCAATTGCCATACTACCCGTTAATGTACGCCTCTATCCAGGAACACAACTCAAATATTATGCAGATCCATGTAAAAAAATCACTAGCCTGCTTCAGAGGAATTGGTGAAAATCCATCAATTTTTTGGAGCGGGTCACATTATGTGCTTTCTTACAGGACCCTGTGGAGACGAGATCCGAGAGCCACCATGCTCCAGTCCTTCTGATTTGAAAATCACAGGCGTGTGGAAAAAGGCACACCTGTATTTTTTTAGGTGTGTGTTTTTTCTAGGTGTGTGGTTTTCTAGGTGTGTGATCTTGTGGTCCAGGGAAATTCAGGCGTGCAATTATTCACACTTCTCAGGAAGCTTTTAGGTGTGCGATGGTGTGGGGGTGTGATTGCATGCCTCAAATCAGAAGGATTGTTGCTCCCATTAAAAAAAATTGAAGATGTCAACAAATCGTGACTTCATCATGTCTTGGGTCTATTTGTGTAACTCAAATTTGAATTGGGGGAATATACATGTATGTGAAAAGCTGTTATCCAGACGTTAATCCAAATTTAAATCTCTGATTTGGAATATTATCTCCTCAGCTTATTCTAGCTGCGATGAGGTACCACCCGAGAGACAACCAAATACAGGTCTCAGCCAGGTAAGACTTTCAAGATATTTAAAGGCAGAGTAGATCATTTGCAGCTATCCAAACAGTTACCGACCAAATTATTGTTGAAATACCTACTTTGTTCAAAAACAGTAACTCCCTGTGAAATTCTGGGATATGCTGTCGTTTTGGAGATAACATTAAAAGATGGTAATTTCCAAAGATCAGTCAAGTGACACACTTTTGGAAATTTCTGTTATTACATGTGGTTGGATTGTAATTGTGCGAATCTGTGAATGGGTGCGTGCAAACGTTGACACAATGCACAAGCGCGTGGTATTTGTTGGTTCAAGTAACATGGCGAAGCTGCAATATGCTGAATGGAACGTGTTCCGGTCGCAATTCACAATATGATTTGACAACTTTTGAATTGAAATCGAGATCCTAGAATATTGTTTTCTCGGAAAATACAGCATTCACTTAGCTAAGACTTCATCAGGTTAGTTGTTCAGCACCCTTCTTTAGCTTTTGAGCACTTCTGTTGCTTCAAACGAAACAAATGCACAAATGACAAATGATGTACTCTATCGTTAAGGTAATTGTTGATTCAATATAAAAGAAGCTTTTAAGTTGACCACAAGTGTGGTAATATTCTGATAAGATTTTCTTTTGTTCATGCAGTGCGTCTCTGTATCATCTGACGCGAGGAACCTACAGTGATCGCCTCAATATACAACATAAACAGTAAGTAGTAAAGACAGATTAAAGTGCTTATTGTTGGAGATCATACTCTTTTCTGACGACTGTTTCAGAATGGTGTTCTGTGCCATATTAAACAAATTATTTGATTGGAATTAAGTAAATGAAAAGTTGAAACAGTTGGCAGCAAGTATGTTAAAAGTTTGACTGTTGCAGTCATTTGGAATGACTCCAGAGTCCAGTCAATGGAAAAGATGTGCATAAAATTCACCTGCCTGAAACTGAAATCTGTTTGGTTCGATCTGAGTAAATAATAGTGTAATACAGTGTAATGCAATGTAGTACAGTGTAATGCAATGTAGTACAGTGTAGTACAGTGTAATGCAATGTAGTACAGTGTAATGCAATGTAGTACAGTGTAGTACAGTGTAATGCAATGTAATGCAATGTAGTACAGTGTAATGCAATGTTGTACAGTGTAATGCAATGAAGTACAGTGTAGTACAGTGTAAAGCAATGTAATGCAATGTAGTACAGTGTAGTACAGTGTAATGCAATGTAGTACAGTGTAATGCAATGTATTACAGTGTAATTCAATGAAGTGTAATACAGTAAATACAGTGTTAATACAGTGTAATACAGTGTATTACATTGCAATACAGTGTATCACTAATAGGTTAAATTAATACTTCGCAATTATCTGTCTATTGCAGAGCTATTATCACCTGTCTTCTTGACGCCATAGAAACTATTACAGACAGCATCACACTGCTCCAGAACTGCGGCCTGACACTCTTCAATTTCCGGATCCCTGAGGAGTTCCGTTATCAGTTTGAGAGGGTGGTGACAAACCTGGTCAAGTTAGCCCTGACGGAGGACCCCAGGGGACTCCTACAGCGTATCTATGTCCATATGTGTAACTCAATAGTCTGCCATGTGGAAGGGGAGCAAAAACTGCTGGTGGGAAGGCTAGGCATAATCAAGGTGAGGGTCTGAGGTCATTGGGGAAAAAAAGCAGATAAGTCTCATATGCAGCAGTTTGTAAAATTTCTGAGATTTGCATGTGATTCCATCTCCTGTCACATGGATCGGGAATCAAAACCGCTGATGGAAAGGCTAGGCATAATAAGGGTGAGGTTCAGAGGTCATTGGAAATAGACAAAATAGTCTCATATGCAGCAGTTTATACTTCTGGGATTTGCATGCATTGCCATTCTCTGTCACATGGGTGGGGACCAAACCTGCTGGTGGGGAGGCTAGGCATAATACAGGTGAGGGTCATCAGAGGTCATTGGGAAATGAACAAAATAGTCTCACATGCAGCTGTTTATAAATCTGAGATTTGCATGTGATTCCATCTTCTGTCACATGGATGGGGAATAACAAACTGCTGGTGGGTTAGCTAGGCATTATAAGGGTGAGGGTCAAAGGTCATTGGAAATAGGCAGAATAGTCTCGTATGCAGCAGTTAATATTCTAAGATTTGCATGTGATTCCATTGGGTCACATGGATGGGGAATAAAAACTGCTGGTGGGAAGGCTAGGCATTATAAGGGTGAGGGTCAAAGGTCATTGGAAATAGGCAGAATAGTCTCGTATGCAGCAGTTTATATTCTAAGATCTGCATGTGATTCCATGGGTCACATGGATGGGGAATAAAAACTGCCGGTGGGAAGGCTATGCATATTAAGGGTTAGGGTGAGAGGTCATTGGAAATAGGCAGAATAGTCTCATATGCAGTGGTTTATAATCTATAAACAGCATAATCAAGGTTTAAGGGGACAGGGGTCACTGAAAACTGAAAAGTCTTGGATACAGCAGTTAAAGGGAATATACATCATTTGCTTTTGCTGTAATTTTCAGAAATGGATGGAATTGGGGGGTTGAAATTATAGCAAATATAGTTACACTGACTTTTTTGAGGTTTTGGGTTCGAAAATGCTATAAAAACCAAGAAAAACAATCATTTTCCTGTAGTCTGGTTCCCTGACTCCATTTAAGAAGAAACAGAGCAGTTTACATATATTGGGGAATTGTAAGGTCAGGGAACCAGTCTAGCTGGCTTGTACCCGTTCATAGGTGTGTAATCGATTGCAAACAAGTGCAATGGCCAATGGGGGCCAGTATTTGAAAAAAGCCAGTTTTTTCCAACGCTGATCGGCCGATCAGCGTTGGAAATTGATACAAAAATACCACTTTTCTTGAAAATGACAGTATACCAGGTGCCATGATTTTACAGGATGCTTTACACTGTCATTCACTAACAGTCCAGCAAGGTATTTCAAAATGATTTGGTAGTTTTATTTTTTGATGTTTGCAAATGTTGTATTTTCCCTTTAATCTCTCTTTTGATTGTAACTTGTGCCACATGAAAGCTGGACAGCTGATAGGGAGGCTAGGCCTGTGGTTAGGGGTTGATTCTTGCAGAAGTTCAAAACCCTGCACTGTGCACCTAACCCTGCACTGTGCACCTAACCCTGCACTGTGCACCTAACCCTGCACTGTGCACCTAACCCTGCACTGTGCACCTAACCCTGCACTGTGCATTAATTAGGATTCAACTTATTTACAAAACCTATCATTATGTTGTTGTTGGGATATGTACATGTACAACTGTCCCACATGTACATTCAGGAGATAACAACTGAGATGTTGTTGATTTTAAATTGTAGTCTTTCTGGTCATTGATTTTCATTTTTTCAGTGCATGTCTGCTGTACAAAGAGGTAACAACTTAAAGGTAACAACTTGTTAGCTTAAAGTGTGGTATTTCTCTTTATTGCTGTTCAGTGTATGCTGCAGTTGATCAGAGATCGTCTGGAGAGAAACAGGTGCGATGAAGTCATGGAGACAGCCTGGAGCACGCTGTGGAATGTGACAGGTGGATTACTGTTTGTTTCATCTTGTTTATCTGTGTGGTAGTCAATTCCATTGCACGTCTGCTGCAAGTCCATCACAAGCCCTCCAGTCCCTCTTCAAATCACAAGCTATTTGAATGAGCTTTCATAAAGGCTGTCTTAGGTCTCCTGGTAAACGTACCAGCTGAAGAGACTCTCTGCTTTGAAATCCCCCTTAAAGTCCACAGCGTGGATGGGACGTGAAGGTTCTGGCCCAGTGACCGTCTCAGGTTGAACTGATTGTTGGGACTGAGCTTGTCCGTGTTCCTCGTACAAATGTACTGGTGTGGCATAGAGTTGTCAGAGGCCTGGTTTGGCACGGGTGTCGGCAATCGCAGCAACAATGCCTTGAACTTTTGTTCCAAAGCTAAAAGATAGCCATCAATTTCCTCCATTACTAGTAATACAGAGATGCCACTTTTCCGGTTTTAGCCGGAATTCCGGTTGTTGTTTTTTTAAATCTCACAAACTTCGTTTTTTTTTCTGGCTGTCAAAATAAACTAGAAAAAGATAAGAAAAATGTGGAAATGCGTTGATTTTTACCTCGTTAGTACTCTTGAGTTTAGTACAATTACGAGCATGCAAGGCACAATGTCACGTTGTTTGTTGTAGTCTTAAAAACATGTCTTTGTTGCTACCGAGCCTGCATGCGAAACAGGTGGCCAACGTACTTGCACGCAATTAACATGGTGCCTCACGCATGCTTCACCTTGTGTGGGCATGTTGTGTGCTCAGCACACAGGGCATTCAGCCTGGAAATAAAGTCTACCATTTCAGTTATCGGTGGTTTCCGATCGCAGTGGTATATGTGAATAAAAAAAACGCCGGGTACCAACCATGTTTTCGTCGTGGGCATCGTGTAGTGCAGAGGTCATGTACACAGACAGTGATGCGGAATCGTGCACGTTTCGTGTTGAATATTACGTTGGAAATTCGGGTAGGCAGAATGAATAATAGGAATGTGGAAAAAGTTAAAGTGACTGAACGAACCAATAGCTTTAATAGCCATAGAAGCAAAAATAAAACATAAATGGAACTAGGCTTGGCTACAAGAGAAAGATGACAACGGGGACTTTGTTTTCACAAAAAATAAAGTACCGTTTTTTAAAGCAGCTGTTCCATTTTTTTTTTCAAGCAGACCCAGTTCCGTTTTATTTTTTTTCGAGCAGACCCTGTGGCATCTCTGGTTATAGCACCGACAAAGCAGAGCGATAATAGAAGGGCCCAATCTATGGATAACACAGGACAACAGTGACGATACCGAAGTGATCTCTAAACCGCGTGATCACTTCGGTACCAGAAAACAGGTCCCAGCTTGACGGCTACGCCATCATATCTCCCCAGGCTACAAACGGCTAGAGTTTTGATGTACGCACTTGTGACCGAACTTGTCATGTGCTTGTGATTAAGTTGTGACCGGACCTGTGATCATTGACTTGTGATGTACTTGTGATGGACTTGTTATGAACTTGTTATGGACTTGTGAGGGACTCAGCTGTATCCCTTGTCTGGTCACAAGTAAAACTGGTCTTAAGTATAAACAAGGTATGAACAATCACAAAGGAATACCTTTGTTACAAATCATTTCAATGGTTTGTGACTTGACTTGGGATGTGATGAATTGTCATCAACTCGGGCACAACACTGCAGGAATTCAGGGGAAATGAAACCATTCAAAAAGGGGTCCTTAAATCTTTGACAGGAAAGTCTAAGATTGCCAGGAATTCAGGAATAATTAAAGAGTGTTTTTAATGCACAGATGAGACTGGAGATAACTGTGAGATGTTTCTTGATGGCAACGGGATGGAGCTGTTCCTGAAATGTCGAGAAGTAAGTGGAGAAATGATATTTACCCTAACTGTCCGGGGTGTTTTGGATGGAAACCCTGCCCAATGCAACAACGTGCAACTCTTGTGAGGAGCTTGCCCAGTATAACAAACTCATCAGGTCATACATTCCCGAGGTTAAATGTCTCAGAGTCTGTGGTTGCCTGCTGCTCCAGGACGCAGCAGTGGCGTTGATTAATTTGTCGGAATAGACCGATCCATCATGCCTCGCCCCGAACTTTGTTGACCAATCACAACTGTGATCAATGTCTGACACGCGTGCTCAAACATCCGATGAGGTATGCAGCCGGAACATGCAGTGTACGTGGTACTAGAGAGGGGCATGTGTTATTCGGCACGTGCGTAGAAATGTTGTGCAAACCCGACCCGAAACCGACTTAGGGCAGGGTTGGTTTTTCTGTCATTTCAGTCGGGTCCGGTCAGTTGCAGTTTTGCAATTTTCAGGTCTGGTCGGGTCGGCTAAGCCATCTTCTGAAAAACCCGAAATAAGCCGGAAAAAAAAACACGAAACAGTTTGGAAATTCATGCGGTGCAATATTATTGCAGAGTAACTGTGCCCAGTACGACCACCTACTGTCTATAACGTGTAAGAGCGATGAAATTTGCTCTCTAACATGTGTTTTTCTTAACTCAGACGTTTCCCGACAAGCCAGAATTACTGAGGAACATGATGGGATTGATAGGCAACGTAGCTGAGGTGCCCAAACTCAGGCAGCACCTTCTCAAGTATGCCTCGGTGTTTATGTGAGTACACAGAGCTCCGTGTTTTGGGTCATCAGAGCATGAGGGGAGGGGGGGGGGGTGTAGAGATGTGTCCAAAATGGGCTTCCAGAGTTACGGCTACATCAATTGTTACCATGTTCATTATGACGTCAGGGTGACAGTTTCAGCCGATTTTCAGCTAACTTTGACAGATTTTTTGTTAAAATACGAGTTTGACATAAAATTTGACAGAATGGATTTCTTTTAAAGATTTCTGGCAAAATTCTGGAAACATGGATATTTGACAGAAAAACATAGCAAATTTGAAGAAAAATGGTACAGTTGTTTAAAAAAGCTTCAATCCTTTCAAACAAACCCATGCATAATGGACAGGTTGGCTGGTCTAGGTGCTGAGGTTCACTGGGAACCGGACTCTGTCTTGACGCAACCGCGTTTAGCCTGAAATTTAGGCAATTTCATAACATCTTTATGTTTCTATAGATTATTAATTTGAACCATAATTAAGGCAATACTACAACATCTACATGTGATTTTTTAGCGTTTATAGTGTATTTCGAGTAATTCTGGGGAATTTAGCAGATTTTTGATGAATCTGACAGATTTTTGAATTGCATTTAGCAGAATTTGACCATGACCTTACGGTCACCCTGTATGTAGTACTTGTAGTTATGGCAAAGACCTAGACAGTACCTCTAGACATCACTTGCATTGACTTGATTGTTACCTTTTTTTGGGTTCACTCAGGGAGCTGTTAGGAAACTGGAGTGACGGTATCGAGGTCAGCTATAACGCCGCCGGTACCCTTTCTCACATCGCAGCAGATGGTCCCACCGCGTGGACTATCTCTCATCCGCCACGGGACGAGGTCCTGCAGCGCATGAGCAAAGCTATCTCCTCCTGGGAACTGAACACACAAAGAAATATCAACTACAGGTATCCTCATAGGTATCCTCATTTGCATTTAGCCCAAAAGTAGCCCACAGAATTATCAAACAAATTTGCATGGGTTAAAGACCATAGGGGCAATTCCATGGTTACTCACGTTACATTTTTGATGTACTTTTGAGTTTCCTTTGGCTGTAATTACCTTACTGAAAAGGTTTAATAACTGTTATCCCCATGGTAGATAGAGTAGACCTAGACCTACCTAAGCACCAAAGATGACATCCAGAAAGATGTGTTATGTATGATAAACAAGACGCACAAAATCGGTTACTCACGTTACGAAAATGAAACGTGAGTAACCGATTTTGTGCATCTTGTTTATCATACATAACACGTTTTTCTGGATGTCATCTTTGGTGCTTAGGTAGGTCTAGGTCTACTCTATCTACCATGGGGATAACAGTTATTAAACCTTTTCAGTACATTTCGGTAATTACAGCCCAAGGAAACTCAAAAGTACATCAAAAATGTAACGTGAGTAACCGTGGGATTGCCCATAGGCCTAGTGGTACTAAACACCCCGTGAAATTATTCCGTCTGGCTTGCTGTCAATTATAAGAAATCAAGAAATGTGGTTGATTTCCAAGGATCAGTCAGTTGACCGATTTTTTGGGAAAAGAGTGGTTTGGACCAAATCGTGTTGAATGATTAAAAGGTTGTGCATGTTTTTTTTACTGTTTTCTAAAACAAAAGTCACATCCACTGAGCTGAAAGTTTAACAGGTTAGGTTTTGAATATTCTTTTTTGGAAGAGAAGCCGAGCAGCGTCGCTTTGCGCTCCACGGTCGCTGAGATTCGCGGTCTCCCCAATGTAAAACCTCAAAAGAAATCGCCCTTCCTGGACACACTCTCAATGCTGAGATTTGTATTAAAAAGTTAGAGCAATATGCACCAGAGAAAGTCGTTGAGAATTGGGACTTACTATTTTTTTTTCAATCAAAGTGTCACCTTTATGTTCTTTAACTTTTACATGGGATAATCGATATATCGAATATTCTCGATGTTGGATTTCTGATATATTGATTATTCATAAATACCTAATACAGTGGAATGCTGCTATACCAAACACTGCCTTACCGAACAGTCGGCTATACCATGTATACCAAACATCATCCTTGGCTCCAGGTTTTAATGTACAAAACGTACTGAACATTGTTGTTGAAAAAAAGTCAACAGATTAACAAAAAAAACCTACCGGTTGTACACGTATTAAACACTATTGGGCCACTTTTAATTCCTGAACATCAAACCACCCATGGTTACATCATGTTTGAATGTTGAAGAGGTGTTAATGGCTATTATTTCCCCAAGGAATAAAAGGGAAACCACCCGTTGTTAAACGTTTGTGACAACTCCTCGTTCGGCCGCGGGATGTGAGAAAAGCCAGTTCAGTAATTTCACTATTGGTCAAAAGAGGGTACCGGCGGTTCAAAATCGCTATACGGAACAATCGTTATTACGAACACTTTCTTTGGATCCCACAATGTTCGTTATAGCAGCGTTCCACTGTACCGGTATTGTTTGCACACTCCTAAGAGCCAGTCACGTGGCCGGACTAATACGGATGATAAAGACATGGCTGGCTGGTCTTAAACACTTTTCCAGTGTCACAAGAAATTTGGACTCCCATGAAATCCGGTGCCTTTTAACATTTCATTGGTTGAACGTTCACATTCCTCACCTAGGCATGCGCAATACTACCCGTGAATCAGTATTTCATAGTCCGAAATTCACACTACACCAGCCCAGCTGCTTTTTGCGCAACATCACACAGTACCCGCGATGCGCACGCCAATCTCCTTATTAAAGTAAGGAGTTGTAGAGGGTCATTCCATATTATAGTCAGAGGGGTGTTTCATAAAACATGAAGTAAAATTGTTGAACAATATGGTTGGCAACGTCTAGTTTTTGACTTGTTTTGATTTTTGGACCGAAATAACGGTATTTATGAATGGGAATAACTATGTGTTTGGTCGGTATTAAACACTCTGGAGACTTTGGAGTCTGGAATGCTGATAATTAGCCTCGGCTTTGCCTCGGGTAATTATCACCCATCCAGACTCCGACCGGTCTTAAACAGAGTCTTTTCTACCTCCAAAACACACATTTATTCCCTTGTTAAAAATTCTGATATGGACGGTGCTTAACCCCCACTGCCACTTTCAAAAGAGGTCAAAAGTGCCAGCTCTTATTCCCCCACAGAGCCCATAACCAAATCCATTTGCAATGCTTATTACTTGTCAGGTCCTTCAAGCCTATACTTCGTCTCTTGATGGTCTTCCACACGCCTGAGGTACAGGAATGGGCAGTCTGGGCCCTGGCAAACCTCTGCACAGTTACACGTGAGTATGGACTGGAGAGAAATTTGATTTCACAAAACACTAAGACACGTCTTCCGAAGGGTAACTCGTCTTATCTCTCCACTCGTCCTAGAATCGATTCCACCAAACTTAAAGAGGTTGTGGAATGCTCGAAGACATTTCCGTCATTTTTCGGGTATATGTAGCCTAAGGTGTGATGAAATAAAAACCACTATTGTTTCTGTCATAAAATGAGTACAAAAGGTACTTTTGAGAGCTGTTTTTCAGGTCCAGTTTCGACCCGAACGTGCAACTGTGTAAAAGTCGTCGTTGCGGGCAGCAAACAAAAAACAGTAAATCGTGACGTAATAAACAGGACTCCCGATGCACAGTAGCATACACGAGTCCTGTTTATTACGTCACGATTTACTGTGTTTTGTTTGCTGCCCGCAACGACGACTTTTACACGGTTGCACGTTCGGGTCGAAACTTGACCTGAAAAACAGCTCTCAAAAGTACCTTTTGTACTCATTTCATGACAGAAACAATAGTGGTTTTTATTTCATCACACCTTAGGCTACATATACCCGAAAAATGACAGAAATGTCTTCGAGCATTCCACAACCTCTTTAAGACGCGTTCAACACGTCCTAAGTTCCTTTAAAGGGAATGTACAACATTTGCTTTTGCTGCAGTTTTCAGATATAAATGGATTTGGAGGATTAGTATGTTATAGCAAATATTGTTTAACCGACTTGTTTCACGTTTTGGGCTTGTAGATGCTGCAAAAACCAAGAAAACCTATCATGTTCTTGTAGTCTGGTTCCTTGACCCCACTTAAGATGAAACAGAGCAGTTTATAGACTTTGGGGAATTGTAAGGTCAAAAAATCAGTCTAGCAGGCTTATTTATACCCCATCACAGGTGTGTAATCAATTGCAAAGAAAATGCGGAATAACTAAATATGAAAAACTAGGAGCAGTTTTTGAAAAAAGCCAGTTTTTTTCCAACGCTGGTCAGCCGACCAGCGTTGAAAAAATACAGTTTTTCATGAGAGTGATTAAGCGGGGAGCAAGACGCTCAGTCACAAGAGTAATGACTCTATCATATCTTGTGTAGACCTACTTTGCGTGTACAATGTAATGAATAGAGACATTTTTCAGGTGAAAGTGCGTGTACTATGCACGTGCACGGGAAATTGGTTTTGCGCATTTCTTTTAACCACTGTTGAAAACAAACATGAAACAGCGATCAAATTGGTAATTTTGATGCGTCTTGCTTTAATGAACAGTTTGAGTCAGATGACTGTATACTTGCAAAGATTTTGCGGTATTCAGAACGGATGACGGAAAAACACGCAGTGACCCAGCGACCCACTCGCAGCTAGCAAGGCCAGAAATATGGGTGTGCTGTCCCAGGGTGATGGCTTCAACCCCCCTGGCATGAGGTCAAGTGAACAGTAATCCTGTGCCTCGTTCCGTTCTTGTCAAAATATTCCCAGCGTGAACAAAAAAAATCTGTGTTAGGATACCTCTTAGCTAGGATCGATCTTAGAGGGGGGACTCGGGAATAAGTCCTAAGATGAGTCGTAAGATAAGACGAGTTTCGTGAAGTTGGCCCCAGACCTCATTATATGAGCACAGGCAACGCCCTCAAAGCTTCTCAAGTTGTATTGGTTGCTTAGAGCCTTGATTTCTTTCCTGTTGTGTGATTGACCAAGTGCTTTAATGTGCTTACACTTTTCTGCTATGATTAACAGCCCTAAGCCACATTTATTTACAAAACACTGCCCAACAAATTTAAATGCGGAGCAAAAATCGGCCAGTACTAATCAGATGCAGTGTACTGCGTGACATTTTGGCCTCTTCGTTTGGCCATCAACTTGTTTAAGTGCAGATATTTTTGCTCAAGAAATGTGGGTGCTTAGCAGCTCTATATGGTTGTCCGCTGCTTGAATGTAGTGCGTATTTTGTAAGAGATTTATATTCATTTCCTGTTCTGTTTATTGTTGGATGTGTGGAACAAGGTGCATGGAAGAAGGTTGTTGGGGCGAAAAATGGGTCAAAAGGTCAAATTAAGACTTATCGGGTAATCGATAGAGTATGGAAATATCGTTCATTTGGTATGCATTTTGCCTCAAGGGGATATGTCATTGTGACGTAATTATCTGCAAACGTATTTTTTATGCGTGCATGGGCTGCTAACGTCCTTTTCCTTGGCACTTGTCATATTATGTAGAGTAAGTCCTTATCCTTGTTTATTTTTGCGAAATTAAACAGATTTCAGCTAACACGATAACATTTACTTGAAAGGGCTTTCAGTTCTTTACCAGAAATTGAAAAAAGAACTATTTTCCTGACAAAACTTTATGACTCTCGGCATGGGTATATGTTGCCTGAAGTTCTTTCTTTATTTTGGAACAGCGTCAAAATATTGCAAGCTCTTGGAAAAAGAGGATGGTCTGATGATGCTACATGAATTAGAGAGCGACCCTAGAACTATGCCCAATGTCAGAGAACTGGTGCAGAAGACGATACAAATCGTGGAGGAGAATCTTGAAGAGCAGAGGCATGATGTACATGTGGTTTGAAAACAGAAGTGCAGAAAAATCTGTTTCCTGGGACCCAGTTAAAAAAGGATTTTTTTTCTAGGCCTTTGACGATTGACCGTATATTTTAGCAAGTATGATGCCATTTCCGGGATAAAATTATGGTCGGTATACAGAGTGGTATAAAAACCTGAGAATATTAACCGAGATGTTCTTACTAATTGCAGGCATGCAACTTTTCCTCGGATCCGCTGATTTCCTCGTTTTTTACTTCTCATGAATGCCATTACAAAATTGAAAAATACTGTACAAAGTCTTGTGTGGTTTAGAGTTTCCTCGTTTTTTCTAAATTCCAAGTTGCATTCCTGTAATTGGAACAAAAGTAGGGCACATGTGAATCAAACGGAGATCTATATCCTTTGTTAGGGTTGAATCTCCTCTTTAAAATAACACCCTGATCATGTCCTTACATTCATGATTGTACGAGCAGTGACCAATTTCATGAAAGGGGAGATATCTAGAGACTTGCACCACTTTTCATTGTGAAATCTCTTTTTTCTCTCACCTGCCTTGATTGGCAACCATAGCCTTTCACTCTGTGACAATTGACACAACAAAAACTACAATTGAAAAGTGGCACAATTCTCTCAATAGACCCTTTCAAAAATTGGTCACTGCTCAGTCAACCGTGAATGTCAAGACATGACCAGGGTGTCATTTTAAAGAGGAGATTCAACCCTAACACAAGATATCTCCCTTTGATTCACATGTGCCAAACTTCTGTTCCAATTTGCAATAATATCTCGGTTTCATTTTTTTTAAATCCACCCTGTATACAAAGTTTTTAAGTGAGACACCCTAAAATATAGATTTTCAAATTGAATTGATAATTTTCTAGCATTATATTAGTTATGATCTTTCCAATGAGACATCGAAGGGAAAAATTGGCCCATGATAAGTAATCCATTAACTGATTTCAAATTTTGAATTAGGGGCGTCCCACATATGTTGTTGGCCTCATGAGTAGGGCTGTACATAGGAACTGGGTACCCAAGTACCGACTCTTAATGCAGGCATGCAACTTTTCCTCGGATCAGCTGATTTCCTCTTTTTTCACTTCCCAGGTGTGCCATTGAAAATAGAAAAACACTGTACAAAGTCTTGAAAAAATTTAAATTTCCTCTTTTTTTGTGACTTCCTAGTTGCATGCCTGTTAATGTCGGGAACCAGTTCCAGATTATGGAATTGGGTACCCGTAACCCGTGCCGCAACCAACTTTACAAATTACAAAGTTGCTCAGACAATAAAAAAGAAAGGTTTGAATATCATTTGTGGAGGATTTAAAAAAATGAAAACCAGGCTACATGGGAAAATGAAGCATTTATGACGCTCATGAAAGTTGAATTTTACACCTTAAAGCTTTAAAGCTCACTGTACACACTTGCGTCTTGCTGTAGTGACGCACTGATGTGGCAGTGTTATCTTGCAGGCCTTCATGAACAATCTGAACTGCAACTTTCGAGATCTGAATTTTGGGTTGGGTTTCTTTCACGGGTACCCGTGATTTTTCCATCGGGTACCAGGTTTCCATACACACCCCCACTCATGCACAGTAGTAAAGTAAAGTCTGTCGTGAGCCAATATGGCCCATCAGGGAAGCATTTATCTCTGGTTTCCTTGGCATGAAACAACTAAGAATATTTCTGTTCTGCTGCATGGAAAGCTAGTCCATCGCAGGTTACTCCCCAGCTAATGTCGGTACCTATTTACACTCCTGGGTGGAAAGAGGCCAGTGGGGGTGAAGTGGCTTGCTTAAGGGTACAACATATGGCCAACAGCTGGATTCGAACCCCTGACCCTCTGATCATGAGACACTAACCACTAGGCCACACCCCCCTTTACATGTGCAGTAGGGGATGGGGATGGGCTAATAATGGATTAGCCTTACAACAAAATGGCACTAGACCTAAGACAGAATGACGTCATGCTTTGTTTACATATGCGCATTCCTTTGGAAGCTGTGTAGGGATGAGTTGCTCCCGTTCCCACTTGGCTCCCATTGAAAAGTGCTCATGTAATTAAAACATGACGTCATTACGTCTTAGGTGTATTGATTTGAGGTAGCTATAGCTCTGGACTCAAGTTTCAGACACTGCTCATGTATGGACTTCACTTGAGATGTGGCCCAGATTTTTTTCTGGACTCCAGTGTATATTTTTAAATTGAAGGGCATAATGGTCTTGGACGTAAAAGAATGATTCTTGGACTCATGGGGGGGGGGTGTTTCCAAACATTGGCTGTATCTGCAGCTTTGGCTTCAAGAGATTTCAAATCCTATAATATGAGGAGAAAGTATACAGTATTTCCATTTTGTTTTCACATTAAATGATTCTGACGCCGGAGCTGGATAGGAAAGCGAGGTTTCACAAATGGCCATACTAGACTTGTGTACCACACTACTGTTCGATTTTGTGCCACAACACACTGATTCTGAAGCCGGAGCTCGGGAGCTGGATAGGAAAGCAAAGTTTTGCAAATGGCCATACTAGACTAACTACACACTGCTGTTTGTCAATGCCTTTTGGATTTTTGGGCCACAACACACTGATTCTGAAGCCAGAGCTGGATAGGAAATAGTCTGAATATCACCCGTTATCCACGGAGCCAAGTCTCCTGTATTACATCTGATATGTCTATTAAAGCATGCAGATATATGCAAGCCGCGCGCCAGCCATTGGAGTCGACTTTACTTAATCGTGACGTCATTTCATTCCCAAATCAGGACTAATGAATTGATAGGTCAATTTGAATGCAGTGTTTTGTAATACAACAACAACCGGGCGCATATCGCATAACATGATACAGAGCGCATTACACAGGTTTTTTTGTTATCCATGTCTATGACGCGCAATGGGTGAATGACCAAAGACCCGATATAGAAAGCGCCCGCAGATTGGTCAAAATCTAGAGGTCAAGATGCAGTTGTCTTGCATAATTAATCAGCGAATCTGTTCAAAAGTTATAGACTATTACATAGACTAGATAGGGAAGTGAGGTTTCACAAATGGCCATACTAGACTTGTCTACCACACTGCTGTTCGTCAACGCCTTTGGGTTTTTTGTGCCAAACCACTTTATTTGAACCGATGGATACTTTGCCTGGGACGCAGATGTACATAAAAGAGGGAATCAACTATGTAATTTGTGGATAATGGCATTAATTCACGGAATGTTTGTACAAAAACATAAACCATTTATCTAGGGGTTTGTAAATTTGCAATTTTTTTTTCTCACAGGACTGATCAGAGTTAGAAGAGAAATAGACATATTTTTAATCTCAAAGAGCAAGGTTCCCTTGCCTTGTCACTTTCTGTTTTCTAGGATTGTTATCGCGGCCTATTCTCTTGGTGATGATTTAAACCATCTTTTTTGTAACTGGTTTTTTTTTTGACTTTCTACTTTTAATTTCAGGAGTGTTTTTTGAAAACTAGTATTTTTAGATACTAATTAAAACAGTTACATAACTCAAAAGGAACTACTAGTAAGAAGCTGCCTTGAAATATATTGGCGCGGCACCGACTGCAAGATTGCTAATTAAAAAAAGATTATTTTAGAGTAGTAAAGTTCAGATAATCGGATAAGTCATTTGCATGTCTGGTTTATATTGTCGATATTTGAAATCAAAAGGTGCACTGTTTTTTTTAATTTTCAACGAGAAATTAGGAAGGGGATGTATTTGATTTGTCGCCTGAAATTTGGTGTGGGTTTTTTTGTGAGAGGGAAACTGTTTGTGCATGTTCTTCATTGAGTTAATTCCAATGACATAAGAAATCCTCAAGTTTACTGATGATGTTATTGAAGATATCAATGCTTACATATATAAAGGTATTATAATCGAACTGTGTGGCACCAATTTATAGAAGTGAAAGATATGTTGCCATTAACTGCCATTCTGCTGTACGCAAATACGTAACTTTGTGGTGGCTTTTAAGATGTGACGAATTTTTTTTTGGCCTTTCCTTGAAGTCTGGCAACAAAGATGTAGTTTAATCATGTTTGATTTTCAGGTTTAATTGCCACAGAGTGTCTATTTAATACATAGTTGGTATGACACAGTTGCTTGTTATTAGGAAGATTGCTGACACTTTGTACAGGAAATAACATGAAACTTTTCAAATTGTGATTCTAGCGAAGTCCCTATAGTGTTAATTTATACAGTATAATACGTGCAACCTGTTAATAAAATATATCAATCATAACATCTCGATTTTGTTTTGAAATGTCTGTCATGTTTGTTGTGTATCTCATGTTGTTTACTACTTTCCGTTTTGACTTTGAAAAAGGTCTCCATTAGAATTGACAAATCGGACCCTAGATCGAGTTCATTATTTTGTTTCCAGCGCATGAATATTTTGTAGAATTTTACCAAGAACACCATTCATGTTGTTGTAGTTTGGTTCCCCGGACCCCACTTAAGATAAAACGGAGAATGTATAGACTTTGGGGAATTGTAAGGTGACGGTCAGAGAATCAGTCTAGCAGGCTTGTACCCCTTCACAGGTGTGTAATCAATTGCAAAGAGTTTTTGTAGGAAATCGAGTTTGCAAGCAGGTTTTGAAAAAGCAAGTTTTCTCCAACGCTGGTCGGCCGACCAGCGTTGGAGAAAACTTAAATACCTTTTTTTTGTTGAAAATGTCAGCACACCATGCCAGGAGCCACGATTTTACAGGATGCTTTAGACTGTTATTCTCTAACAATCCAGTTAGGTATTTTGTGATAATTTGATCATTTCGTTTTGTGATGTTTGCAAAATGTTGTATCTTCCCTTTAACAAGATAACTAAAAAAGTTATGGAAGGATTTGCATGATTTTTTTGCATAAGGGGTGGTCATTGGTGCAAGTACAAATCGATTACATTTTGGAAGTGATCCGGATCTGGGTCGGGATCCATGATTTCTTTTATGGATTCTTCACCATTAATGCGGGTATTCCTTGAGAGTGTGCTAACAATATGGCGTGGAATTGTTCAGCCTTGGCGGAGATTTGAGCTCTCCGAGTGCTTTCTAGTTTATAAAGAATTATAAAATATTGCTTCATAACACCTCTGAGACAAGCGCACGTGTTGGGCTAAACATCTCTACATTTCAGGCAATAAAGGTGAATTACTAAAAGGGGTATTTTTTATATTAAATAAAGCAAGAAAGGTTCAATCTGCTAACTAGGATGATTCCGTACCGTACCGTTCGATAAAATCCTCGGGGATCATAATACTCTCTGCCCACTTGGCCGAACAGATTTTATTGCACATATTTGATTTATATACCTGCTATCCACAGAATACAACAAATGGTAGTTGGAAAACATTTATTGAACTCTACATAATCAATTACCCCACAATCACTTGAAGCCGAAACAAAATGAAGAATCAATATTCTCCAATCTATGACTAATAGGATTATTTTTGTCTAACACTCCCAACTGTAAGGATTTCAGTTTTACGAATATTAGTCTAGAACGCCCCGCCCCCGCTTTGTGACGATCCATTCGAAACAATCGCAGCTAGTTCAATTTATATATTATTTTTTTCTTGGATGACTGTCATGACATATGCTGAATAATGGGCGCTATTTGACGCCTTGGTAAATAAAGTGTCGGCTCGCCCTCATCGATTGCCTCATCATCGTTGAAGTACGTGTCTACGCTTTGTTGTCGTTACCTGCTGCTTTGAGGTGCTTTGCTTGTGTGAATTTATCACGGCTTTGCTGTACTCGTTTGAGGGGCGTTGTTCCAGGGAGGAAGGGGGGGGGGGTATTCCACATAATTATTCCCTCTTAAAGGAATCGTATACGTTTGGTATTTGGAACCGTCCGTTTGTTTCAAATTTATAACACGACACAAAGGCTGTTGGCTTCTTTTATCTTTAGTTTGCGTTTGTTTTGTTTTCAATATAGGTTACGTTTACGGATTGACAACTTAAAACAGAAAGAGTTGGAACTATTTATTTTACCAAAGTGACTGAGATTTTGGGAGAATAATGAATAATTTGATGAATAGCCACGCAGTTTCAACATGTTACCTGCGCTTTCTTCAACTTTTACACCGAAAATGTAGATTGTGTTTTTAATTTCCCATTAATTTAGCAATACGAAAGTTATTTACTTTTGAAGGAGATATCGAGCATTAAATGCTGCGTTACGGTTGAAAAACCAACCACAACTAAAACCGTGTATCTTCAGAGCGCTGAACGGTCCAAAAAATATTTTTATTTTATTTTATTTATTTTTTGGTGGCTTCTTTCCGTTCCAATGCCATTTGGAAAATCGAAAGGAGGTGGAAATCAAACATTAAAAAACGGATAGTAACAGCAGCTTTAACCTCATTACGAAATACTCGAAACTAGCAAATGACACTTGTTCTAAAAACCTAACACTATTATTAAGTATGGAAGGAGGGACCTGCATGTTTTGCACTTTGCCCGGCTGTATTAAACAAACCACTTCAATCTACCAACCCACACCAACTCCCTCTGTTTTAAAGGGGCCATGACATTAAATAATTCTGGGGAACACATTTTGTGCAACTTTCTACTCCTCTTAAATATACTTGACATCCCTTTTTCTGTTAATTTTATTGAAGAGTGCACTTCTTTATATATTTCAAAATGTTCCATGCTTTTCCGGACTTGGGGCACTGTTGCTGTGATGTCATTTCAGGAAGACACTGTTAACGTTTTGGGGTTTTCTGTTCAAATTGTGAACCCCAAAATGTTACTCATTAAAAACACATTTTTGAGAAACGTTGCTCATTGGCTTACTGCAATGTACTGACACAACAGTGAATCACCAATGAAAAGAAAATTAACGATAGCAAAATATCAAAACTTCTGGCAACTGTTGGTGCTGAACTATAGCTCTAACATTGAGGTTTCAGCCTGAAATGACGTCACACTTTCGCTCATGAATATGGAAATTCCCATATAGCCTAAAAAACAAAAAGGCAACAAAATGCACTTGAAAACGGCAAATAGAAAATTAAAAATAAGATTAATTGTGATGTGCATTTATAAGGTTTGAATTAATTTAAGAATACATTGCATGAGCCCTTTAAGACAACATCAGATCAGGAAATAAACACATTAACTAGTTTTATTATCGGATATTGTGCGGTCTTTTTGGTCGGCCCTTTTTTTTTAGAGTGGACATTTCAAAATTGTGAGGAAACATGCGGGTATTTGGAGGGCTTTGAAATGTCAAAATTATACCGAAAACCAATGAAAACGTTTGATTTGTGCCGCAAAACAAACACCGACACGCTAAAAAAAAGTAATGAAATAAGTGATAAACTAATTCTGTTTCCATTCCCACAAACCCAATTAAGATTGTTGATTTTAAAGCTACTTCTTTATTTGTTGTTTTTTCCCCAAACACACTGCACTCCTGTCATTCATTTTCACTGTCTTATAGATACACACACGATATTGGACAAGTAGTATTCGTGTTTTCGCATAAATTTATATCTTTCATGATAATGTCTTTTTTTCTTCAGATCCTTAATGACTAACAGGGGCGGGTCGGTCTAGGATGTGCGCGGTTCCATGCAGCAAGTGCATCCACCTGCAGGTCATTAATTATTAACCACTACCCTCATAATGATTTAGCACATGGAACAGAATTGTCCATCGAATTAAACAATATCACAGAAATCGACAGTACCGAGCTCAGCTTTCAATCGATAACACTTTTTTGGTTCGATATTAACCATGAATGAAATCTGTTATTATACTGTTGAAAAGGAAGGGGCGTTGTGACACGTTTCATATTCTGTATAGATTCATTATCATGAAAGGGTTTAAACTGGACTGCAGTCGTCAGGACTGTTTTCCTGGCGAGACACACTGGGCTGTAGACTGCGTGCATGATACGTGCATGATCAAATAATCGCATGGTGATCTCGGGGCAGTACTGTGCTGTCATCATCAACCGTCCATCTCATATGCGCGTTGCTACTGGCAACGGAGGTTACCAGCAACCGCGACTGTCTCCCGCATTTTCTCTATCTAGCTATTTCTCTTTCATCGTTGCTCACGTATAACGGCGCTTTCAGCGCAGCACCGAGCCGTCATCAGTGGATCGAAAGCTCGCAGCAGACGCACAGTGGTTGGAAAAGATAACACACATGGCGGTTGCATGTGGACTAAAAATCGAAACGAATTCTGTAATGGCAGCGGCTGGTGTAGTTACAAACTGACGTGCTATGCATTGTGTTGGATGTAGCGTGGACTGATAGCAGCGGAGAGCAGGAATTGTGACCATGGATCCGGCGGGAATGGACGGGGAAGTCGCGGTTACTGTCTCGGGCGTCGCCCCGGTAACTCTCATCGCGCAGATCTCCGTAGCTCTGATCGCCGTGGCTGTGACTGCTGTCTACATACTGAAGAACCTACCGGACTCGGGGGAGAGCTCCAGGCCGGGAGGCACCGGCACAGGACCCGCGGGTAGGGAGTCACCGGGCGGGAATGAGCGGCAATGCAGGGTAACATCAGATGGGCACACGCTGGGGAGGAACAATGGTGATGATGTTGACGGGGGAGCAAGTACGAGCAAACGGGAGCCGGAGGGTAAGGACATGCCAGGATCACGAGGAGAATACCGTGATATCATCTCCTGCGATGAGTACAAGGATCTGTGTGGCAGTCCACCGTCAGGAGAGAAACCAAGACCTGCAAGGAAAAAGGGGTCACTGTCGGGTCAGTCTAAAGAGTGGCCGACATCACTCGAGAGTATAGACGAGGAAGACGAAGAAGAGGAAGAAGGGAATACAGAAGGAGGTAAAGAGAAGGAAGATGAACCAAAAACACCCAAGCAGAGCCCTAAAAGAGGATCTCGTGTCCCCAACTGGTATTTCTCGAAATCGTCAAGTGGTATACCGTCCCTGCCACGGGATAGGGACTTAGATTCTCAGTTCAGTGAGCTGGCAACCCAGACACCTGAAAAGAGTCAGTGTGCATCTGAAAGTGCCGTTTACACATATGAAGATGTTAGCCATGTGGATGAGGCAAGAAAGAGAGCAATCACTGGATTTTCTGGTACGCCGATTGGTGTGTTGCAGCGCAAACCGTGGCCAGCGTACCAATCAGCGCGAGAACTGAACGATGAATATTTATACGATGGGCAAACTTCCAGCCAATCACTGGCTGCGGAATTGGATCACCCACAGGCTGCGCTTCTAAATCTCTCGCTCGAAAACCACGAAAAGAGAATGAGTGTTCCTGATATCCAGATACACGAATACGATACAACTTGTGAATATTCAAAACATGGGTGTGGCAGTGATGAAAATGATTCTGCGCAGTGGGTTCAAACGCTCGCCTCCACGGTCCTCCTACCGGAGAAATGCCAGGAAGAACTGAAGGCTGAAATCGTACGAGTTGATATAGATAAAGATGACGGAGGTGAAAATGGAGAAATCCATATGGAGAAATCACAAATCACCGTCAGGGAAAGACCAATACCCCGTCCACGCACAAACCTCACTGGTGTAAGTAAAAACAACCAGGATGCCATTTCTTCCCCTTCAACACCAGAAAGTGTGCCACCATTTACAAGCACGCCACCACGTGACGAGGTTATAAAAGCAAGACCGGACATTGACCAGCCACCAGCGAAGGAGCGTGCCCCGCGCACAGGCGCCAAGCAACCCACGACAAATGCCAACGAGGGATTACATCAACAAACCAAACACGTCGAGTTAGGGTACACAAAGACCGACGCGGCTCTTGAGCCTGACTTGCAAACAAGAACAGGGTTTATAAAGAAAGAAAATATTGACTCAGTAGATAAGAGCCACAATAGGCTGCCGTCACTCGCTAGTCATTACGACAGTGCTCGAGTTACAACCAAACCCAACTCTCGTGTCTTTACAGTCGTGGGGAGCACACCGGGTCCGATTAGTACCTTTCAAGCAAAAGCTGGCAATTCAAATGGGGAAGTTGTAGGAGAGGTTGAAATTCATCCGACACCTGCTAGTGAGTTCGTCGTTACTCCTCCAGACACCCGAGTCACCTTGGGTGCAAACCCTCCCAGCGCAGATCAAACAGTAACAACTGGATCAGCTTACGAAAACGGAACACCAACTTTATCAACAGAACTATCGTCTGATGAAAGCGGCTTACAACACATTAACACTGCACGAAATGCAACACCACTGGATGAAATCGCGAAGATTGATTATGCACGCGTACGCGAGGAACCCGATACGTCACATGCAACAAATGAAACTCTGAATACAGGCCATGAATTCAAAGATGCAGATTCAATTACACTGAACAGTTTGGAACACAATTCTTTCGATGCGGTGAATTCGGGAAACAACGCAACAGATGTTCATCGGATTGACGAGCAAGTAGACCAAAGTGGGTCTACTGAACTCGATGAGATACGAGCTAATTTGACCGAGAGACTTCCCCTAAAAAGACCCAAGGAATTGTTTCTAAACAAGTCATCAAAGAGCCCAGATTCCAAGCCATGGAACCAGTTGAAAGATTCAAGCAATGGAATTGTTTCAGACCCATCTGATTCAGAGCTTTCATCAGCTACAAGTCCGAGCGATGTGGTTGCCCAGCAACGGGCTCGCATCCGAAAAAGCCTTGAGAAACTGAACGTGCCTGATTGGTACAAGAAGTCCAATCACTACAAGCGAGTCTTGAGCAGTGATCAGACCCGGGATCTCCTTGACAACCAGTCTGATTCAGAACCTCGCATGACAAGGAGTCCCTCATCTTGTCTGAGCGATTGTTGGAGCGCGACCTCATCCGAGGAAACAACGCATCACCGACCAGCCGTCTCGACTAAACTCGCCTTCCAATCAGAGGCAAGATATCGTAGAGATTTCCCGAAGCGATTGTTGTACGAGCCGATCCGTAACGCCTTCTCGTGCGCCGAACTACCGACTCAAAGTTCGATAGGGTCGACTCAAGTTGACGCTCAGTACCCCACGAGTGTGATTGATGACATTGAAATAGACCACAGTGCACATGACACCCTATCGGGTCAATCACTTAATCAAACATCAACATCACTAAATGATGTCAACTCTGGTTCCCCTCCCAGCCAATCATCGCCCTCGCATGGTCTACGCACGCGCAGTAAGTCTGAGGGGGACCATCTCGATCAGATCACGTATTTTGATTCACTGGCTGTGAAGCGACTTGAGCGTCATATGTACGATTCGATCTTCTTCGTTACTGGTTATATCAACGACTCACAGGACAACTTGGACGAGATCCAATCGGACGGAAATAGTCTCTTTGCCAGTGGAAGCCTTCCCGATGAATCCTTAGACGACATGGAGTATCGGAGACAAATGTATGAACTGAGAGAATCCGTTCCCCTGCACTCAGTTTCCCCTGAAGTACAGCACAGACCAACAGCAACAGACAACTACAATTTTGCGAATGAAAATGGTTATATGAACAGAGGAATGGACACTTATCGCGTGCCTTTCGACAGAGATGACAAAAACAGTCAAACAGAAAGGGGAAGCATAGATACATTATCAACTTCACAACGTGGTATGTATGGTGATAATGAAGACTACAGGTCCATAGAGGAGAATCAGAACCAGTGGACACCAACGCCAGCGCCTCGTAGAAACATCATGGAGAGTCCACACGCGCAAAGTTATTCGCTCCTCACCGAGGCACAGCAAAGCCAGGAGCTGAAACCAGACCCTCGGTACAATCCAGACGGTAGCAGAAACGTCAAACTCTCTCCGAGGTTCGCCATGGTTACACCGCAGATCAATCGCGAGGGAGAGTCACCCAGGAGCTCGCCGAGAAATACAAGTCCTCGGAGAACGACTGTCAAGATTATGGTCACCGACACGTCGCTGGAGGACGATGACAGTGGCCCGTCGACCGGACACCGCAGCGACAATGACCTGGTCTCAGCCTCTTCCTCGGACCAGGAGACCGTAGTAGACGGCACGACGAATTCATGGACTCCACTAGATCTGGAGAGATTGAAAGATTCCGAGTTTGCTGCCGTGTTGTCTGTAATCACATCGAGACACATGAAGCCAGGAAACAGGTCCGGGCTTTATCTTCCTGGAAGTGGTTTCATCCCTCCTAAAGAAGTCACAATGGAGGAGATTGTAGATAGTTTGTTAGGTCTGCCTTACCAGCGAGCAGCCAGCGCCGTGGATCTCAACAGTAGTGGGTATCGCGGGAGCAGCTCCACGTCCACACCTCTGACTTGCTCTACTCCCGATCTTAGTTCCTCCTGGAGCCCCAGTCGAGGTAGCACTCCGGTGTCTACATCAGACAAGAGCCACAGTGCCGACAGCCTATACAGCGAAGATGGTAACGTCTTGAACTCAATCGTCATCGGTCGGAGAAATTATGAGGACAGTTACCATGACAACAGTTACGAGGAGGGAGGCAGTGACGCGATCGGTGAGGAGATCATAATGGTGAAATGTAACTACAAGAAATGCGCCAAAACGAAAGAACTCGCCGAAGCTCGTAAGTCGTTCAAGACTTGTCACAACTGTTACACCTACTACTGCTCCAGGCAGTGCAGAAAAATGCACTGGCCCCGCCATAAGAAGCGATGTCTCTTCAGTCGAGTCAACAGTGCCTGCAAGCATGTCATCTACCACAGTCGATACAATGCGCAGCTGCAGTCGGATCTGACGCGCGTTGCGCGTACGGGTTACCTATCACGCGGACGCGGCTCCATTCTGCTCATCTTTCCGGACACGGAGTCCGCGGAGAACTACACGGAGAGAGGTTTTGACGCTCTGCCAAGCGCACCGACGTACTCGACCGTACGTGAGCTGGAAACTTCGGATCTCTTCGGAGATCACATGAAGTTTCTACTTGAGATGTGTCGCACGTACGACCCGGAGAGAAAGTTTGTGTTGAACGTTGCTATTATGGCAAACCCCGAACAGCATCGCGGAAACAGGCCCAGACAAACAGATACGGCTGTCAAAAAATGTGCCAAGCTCAGTCTGATACCCCCTCATTCAGATCCGACCTCGACAACTCTGGATCCAGTTCCCGATACTCTCATCATTACATCTCCGTCTGGATCGCAGGGAGACGGGGAACTCGACCGGAAATCCAGACAGGTGTGTTTTGTGCATATTCAGCGTCAGCTGCGTCAGCGGGGTGTGAACCTGAGACACCAACATGCCGAGATTTACGACAAACTCTGCCGCTGGGTGGAAGACCATGAGCATTTCACACCCACCACCATTTATCCTCTTGATGAGCGGACTGGCAAACGGTTTATGTGTGTGCTGATGCCCGAGGCGGAACCAGACGATTTAGGGTGGATCAACAACCCAGAACTCCTTGAAGACATCGACCTGGATGCAGAGCTTGAGAAACTTGAGAATGTGGCTGGGATGGTGGTCACTGACCTCTGATAATGACCTTTGACACTAGAGGTCAAATTATCTGTACTACAGACTTCATCATTATAATTCACAAAACTCGCTTAGATACAGTGCACATTATTCAATGACATCGAAGCTTTTTATACACAATCCTAATTCACTTTGTCTAGCATGTTCAATTATTGGATGCAGAATTAACTGTTCAAAACATTCCTTCTTGCCGAATCTAGACTGAGATGCCCCTAACAAATACAGTTTTGATGTGCGGCATTTGCCGGTTGCTTAGTTCCAAAAAAATAAAACTCACGTAGTAATCAACTTGTCACCTCGTATCAAGATTGGTGAATGGGAGAATGATTATAAGCCCGGCGGCGGGGCATTTCTTCACCAGAGGCAGTTGCACTTTGTGACGACAAAACACTTGGATTACTGGGATGAATCATAAGACTTTGATCACCATGGCAACAGCGGAGGAAATTTGCCCAGTGCGTCTCAGAGGAAGCGATCGTTCATCATCAAGGGACACTTCAGCCACGGACTTTTCTTGAGGGGTTGCGTTGGATGCAGCAAAAGGAACGAGACAAGGAGACGTTGATGACGTGCGGGAATGCGGATAACAAACTATGGCAGACCAGCCTGAGGAGCAACTTTTATCATCATCATTATCAAGTAAGTTGCTTTAACATTATTTTAACGACTTTCTAAGCCAAACTTCATGAATACACAATTCTGTTTCGTCTGACATAATTCTGCTGATATAACCAAATTCAAAGTCATTTCGGCATTGATGTCGATCGGCTCATTCAATACAACAATTATTCATATACAGGTTGATTTTAGTCCGTAAAATACAAAATACATTATCAAGTATTAGTTACTTTATTTCAACCACTATCAAAACACAATTTCATGCAAACACAGTTCTATTTCATCTGACAAAATTCTGCTGAAATTCATTTCGGCATCATTGGATTGGCTCATTGAACATAACAAAAAACTATCCACTCACGATGATTGTAATCCTCATAAACAAATACAGAAAACATGTAATTTCGAGTCTTGCAATATTAAGACAACACGTTGAATGTTTGTGTTGCTATCCTTGTGACAGAAAGCAATTTCCTTTTGAACAGTCATGAACTTTACATCGTCAATAGGCCTACTTCCTCTTTGACAAAATTATGCAATTTCAGTTCAATATTTCGAAAAAGCCCTTGCCAAATTGCGTGTAATATAACGCGTTTTAATTTAACTACAGTTCTTGCCAGGACTTTAAACCATTTCATTTACATCAGATCGTGCTCCATAAGAAATATTGGAAAGGTAATAAATCTGAAACCTCGAGCAGATATTTACTGATCGCCGAAAACTGCGCCGCATCCAAATATTTGGACAATCCTAATGCACCATAAACAGGCGTAATGTGCAATAAGCGTCGCGTATCCACTCAAGAAGAAAAGCAATTTTGGGTGGATGTTTCTTCGTAAACACCGCTCAATTTTGACCAATTTACGCCGCGGGTGCCCAGCCAACCATTCTGGTAATATCCAGACACACCAACCTTTGACACAACTTCATGCAATTCGGCACGAGTCCTTTGAACACACTCTGTGCAGAGATTGTCTGGTTGTGTGGTGTGTTTACTTTGGCTTGCACCTGTCATTTTACCTGCCCAAAATCGGCTAATTAATCGATCGGACTTCGGAACCTGTTGTTCCAATTAACGAGTAGATTTTTTTTCTCTTCAGATTAAACGTTTTACGATAGCCGCAATCTGGAACAGTAGACCTAAGAGTGATTTTTGTAGATGTCAGTAATTGACACGTTGAATAGACACCTTGGCAATGTGCCATGTTCCAATAATGTAATGCCACTCCCATAACAGAAGTGCAGCATTAGTAGGCCTATAAACCGCCCATCATGCGTGGACATTATCATTAGTACAACCGCTGCTATTATGGTCGTCATGGAAAACAAGATTGCTACTGTTATCCCCATTATATCCCTCGTTATATATACTTACTAAGCCCATATTCATTTTTGTGAAACCCGATGAATGTCGACATAACTTTAGACTAAGAATGAATCTGTTTATGTTTAACCTTTAAAGCCAGTCTAATTTTTTCCCCAATCCTGTCACCGGATCTTATTCGTACTTCACTGTCATGGACTTATAATATACGATAATCCTTGACAGCAATACCTTCATCATCTCACTAGCTAATTTGAAATCGCAGCAGACCGCGAGGTGGAAAAATAGCCTCATTATTAAGTTGCCCAAGGCAAGAAATCCTGATATAATACCATTTTGGGCCATTACCTAGTCTGGCTTACGCCGGGGTAGAATTTCATGCGCCTTTCATCAACCCGCGCGGCCGAACCTCCGCGCTGTGTACGCGCCAAATGAGAAATCTAAGCCTTGGATAAGCTTAAACCGACAAACAACTGTCTCTTTCAGCCGAGCGTGTAGGCGGTAATGGTCCGAGGACAACTTGAATTCGATTGCTTGCTGATATGTCTTGGAGGAATTTTAGCATCATGCAAAGAGGATCATCGGCTCGAGTTTCGTTTACGAATAGATAGAAAAGGTATGACTTCAAAAAGCCATTCAATGAGCTATTGAGCTGTCACGGAGAATTTAACATTATTAACGAATCCACGTCGGAAAACGACAAGCGTGTTTATTTGTACACTCTGAAAACAACTGTCAAAATATTGACAGGTTTTCCTAGTGATTGAAAATTGACTAGGAATTTACTTAAAAACATGCAAAGTTCCATACTATGACTGAAAAAAGTAGTTGGATTTGACTACAATTTTAGTTATTTGCATAGCTATTTGTCAACACTGACTGGAAAAATCTAGTCAGATTGACTGATTTTCAGTTGCACCCAGCTGACCCTGCATGGGTAGTCAAATTAACTGTTTCTAGTCAAATCTGACTGTTTCTTTTTTAGAGTGCATTCATAGTTTTAAATGTCCCTTCTATTTACTTATTTATTTTGTTTTGGGGGATTTCCCTTCGCTTAAAAAAAAAAAAGTGGATTGTGGTAGGAATTCGGGGGATGGTTAGCCTTAGTTGTGCAGTTATTGTTTACACATCCATGGGCCGTGTTGGAACCATGCTTATATAATTTTCATTAAAACAAATGATTTAGTAAAATTATCGTAAAGAATTTGTAATTAATTGCTTTCACTGTGTCCTATAGGACGTAATAGTTTAATGATAGGTAAAAAAAAAAAAGTCACCCGATGAAAAGCAGATTACCAAAGCTTTTTTCTATTTCATGCATGGTCAGATATTCCAAAAGTACACTTGAGAGGTTGTTGTGGTAAAGCCAATCCATTGTACACATCTTATAATTATGAACCTGCTATCTTGCCCGTTCTCCATAAACGACCACTAAATTATCACGACTTCCTTGATAAAAACTCATTTCATCTCCTATTACCAGCCCGATATCATAACTGCCCAAAGTCCAGTTTGCATTGCAAATAGAAGTTTATATGGTATTACAAGAAACGCGGACGCCATACCGATAATGGTGTGATACAGTTGCCAAGGACTCGATACAAGTGTGTACTTTTCAGTTGTTTGCGCGATCGTTGACTTGTTTTTATGATCTCTGTTTTGCGGTCATGATTACCACACGACCGACGCCGTGTAGTAATGCCCTAATATTACACGTTATTTTCTCAAATTGAAGTTGTCTGTGGCCTATTAGGTTTAATATACATGTACAACATTTATTTTTGCTGTAATTTGCAGAGATGATTGGATTTTGGGTGTTAGTATTTTATAGCAAATACGGTTGCACCGACCTGTTTAAAGGTCTGTGTTCATATAGATGCTGGAAATACAAGTAAAATAAATGCTGTTCTGCAGTGTTGTTCCCTAACCCTACTTCACCTTCAGACGAAATGGAACAATTTTATAGAGGTCAGAGATTTGTCGGGACAGGGAACCAGACTAGCTGGCTTGCACCCAATCACGGGTGTGTAACCGATTGCAAACAAAATGTGGACTAACTAAATTTGGTAAATTGGGGGTAGTATTTGAAGGGAAAAAAAATAGATTTAGTTTCCAAGGCCGACCATCGTTGGAAATTGATACAAAAATTTAACTTGTCTAGAAAATGACAGCACACCAAGTTCCACGATTTCACAGAATGCTTGAGACTATTTTTCACTTACAGTCAAGTGAGGTATTCACGGGCGGATCCAGGAATGTTCGCAGGGTGGGTTTTTTATTGGCAAAACAAAATCTGAAATGTAGACACGTTTTTTTCTCCGGGCACTTGGCCTCTGTAAAATCAAAACGGGGGGGGGGGGGGGGGGGGAATTTTGGGTGTCGGAGCAGGGGGGGGGTTCCCTTTTTCAGGCATTTCTATGGAAACAAAATTGACAGAGCTGCCTCTGGATCCGCGCCTGGTATTTTTTAAAGATTTGGTAGTTCTGTATTGTTTATGTTTCCAAATGTTGTACATGTATATCACCCTTAATGGGAACCCTGTATTATGCATTATGGAAATAACTGTCCTGATACTGTTATTGACGAGTGAAATTTATTACAATAAGACAGATTTATCGATTACATGACAAATGATGACATTTGTATCAATAGTGGAAACGTTACTTCTTTGCACTGTATAACTTGTAAAACTAATTATATCAAGTGAACCCGAATTAATGCATCACTGTCTATCTGAAAGTACTCTTTTATTGAAAATCCACATTTCATTCGATGACACGTGTACATTTCAAGTCTTTCAAATTCAAATACCGATTTTCTAGTGCGTGTTTTATACTCTGTTTTAAATCTATCTCTGGTAAAAAGTCGGTCGCGATATGGCTTTGAGTTAGGAAATCACACCAGTTCATTTTCGTTCATGGTCTAATTAATTTGGGTGTGACCACTGCTTTAATTATTACAAAGTCTGAACCGGTGTCGGTCTCGATTTTTGCATAACGAAACAATGAATCAGGCTGCAGTTGTTCTCATTTTCATTGTGAAAATTCTCCCTGAAAATCGATCACACAAATGAATCACAGAAACTATTCAACCTTTTTTGAAAAGATAACCACAGCTGGCTGGCTGGCTGCCAATATGTCTGCAAGAGCAAATAATGTGCACACTTTACTGTCAATATCCATGCCACATGCAACTTTACGTGACATCTGTGACTGAATCTAGTGGGTATCTTCATCGGTGTCATAGCTCACGAGGTCGCCACGGATCACTGGATCGATTAATTGTAATCACACCCAAAATGCGACGATCATTCTGGAGGCATTTGGATCATCATTCATACGATAATTATGGTAATGGTTTTCATAGTTATAGTTTCTGAGTGAAAATGCTACCTCTGGGAAATACTTCCTTTGTAAATTGTTTGAAATTAGGGATACACTCGGCATCGGGGAGACAGTAATTATAATGTCTCCCTAATGTTTTAACTACATTTCTATGACTAATTATAATGTGTCGCATAATGCTTAAAACGATTCTTTAGGTCGACAAGAGTATTGGATTTAAAATGTTTGAGCTTGGGAATATTTTCAAATGGGGCTATGGGGATGGGAGGGTTTTCTTGTTGTTTGTTTGTGCACAAGTCTACAGGAATGTCTCCCTGAGAAAAAAAAATCGACGAATTTTACCCAACTTATAGATCTTCACAAATATTGAGTGTTTGACTATTTATTGATGCTCCTTTGTCTCCAAAACCTCTTACCTCCAAAGGAATTTCAGCGTTATGGAGAAAAGTCAGTGTTTGGCCAAAGTTAGTTTAGAATTAATTTGTTTTTAACATTTTGGCCAATAAATGAAAATGCTTCAAACTTGCAGGGTGAAAGTATTAAATAATGATCTCATTACGATGTTCTCATTACGATTATACATTTATTTACGGATAAACCCAAATAATTGGGGCAAATACGATCTAGGACACACGAGAAAAAAAACATAAGATAATGAAATACGAAGAATAATGTCCAGAAAAAAAATAACATGAACATATGTACATAGTTGAGAAAGGACGGTATCAGTATGTTTATGTACCCTGGTACAAAAGTTTTTGAAATTGAACTCGCATGCAATTGCTTGTTTTCATATTTTGGCCAAAGCAGCAATTCTCCACTGAATTCAGACCTAGTTTCTTTCTTTACAGTTGCTGTAGGCCTATTAGCATAAAATTGATGCAACCGCTTGTAACCCTTGATCAGAAATCGACCTATAGTTTGCCTAATCGAATTGACCTTGATGTACCCTTTCCAACTAATTAAATAACGGTTGGTAAAAATAGATTTGGCCGGTGGTGTATGCCATCATCGTTTACACAGGCTGACCTTTATATTTTGGTGCTATTATTTACCCAAAATAATCCTAATTGTTTTATAATTGAATTAAATGCGTCGGATGAATGGCTAAACCCAGTATAAAAATGTGTCCATTTTAATTTTCGATGGAAGTTCATGTTCTTGCCGTCGTTTCTCTGAATTTCAAAAACGACAAAGAATTTAAAAACAGACTTGTTGGGTGTTATTTTGTTTGTGTTACCAGATATACCATAAGTTGATGTGCTTGTCTTCAGGATTATTTTCCCTTCTTCCCCCCCCCCAAGAAAAATAGCCGAAATGAAACCATCTGATCTTATATCAGTCCAGAAATACAAAATTCATTTTTTTTGCTCATTTTGTCCCCCAGGACTCTTCAAATTTGCCTGCAGGGACGATCTTGAAGAACGCATCACCCGATGAAATCCCAAGTAAGTGAGGCCTCAGTGAGCAGATTTCTCGCCTTAACGAACCAAAAGTCTTCCTGCCAAGTACCCAAGAGAGGATTTCGCGTCAAAGACAGTGTGAGTAACACCCAACCATCCAATGTCGCCCTATCGCTACCGGACTGAAACAACTAAATACAGTAACAGGCGAACATTCTCGTGAGGCATTTTGTGTTTTCTCCGATTGACCATAGAGAACCGTGCCCAGTTTCAAAAACCTGTTTATCACACAATTATATTGAGCTCAGACAGTGTTTCGCTTTATGTGAAGAGTAAAGTTCGAGCCAACCAAAAGGTATAACCATTGACGGGTGCATACCCATGTTCACCAATACCGATGTTCAGTTCCCCAATACCGATGTTCCCGAAATCCTTACCATATAACCCTAACCCTAACCCTAATCCTTCGGATTTCGGGGAACATCGGTATTGGGGAACATAGGTATTGGGGAACATCGGGTAGACCCCACCATTGACACCCTGAAATTCGCTATATGTAATATCACATGACACTGATTTGGTACAATTAAAAACTGTTTTCAAGAATTAACCGTAGTCACCATGTTGCTAAAATGACGCAATGAAAATGATTTATACATTTAAAAAATAATGTCTCACTAAATTTAACCACGCCCATTGAAAAGCTAAATCTCTATTCTCTTATTTAGGCCAATTAATTTTTTTGTTCTGGCCAAGCAGATTTGTGTCACAAAAATACGTTCCCAATTCTAACCAAAGTGTCTTTGTAACTACACACTGTGTAAATACGTTGCTGTATGGAAACTGGGTATTGAGAATGATTGGATTTTGGCTTCACACTTAACAATAGTGTTGACTGATGTGATGTGGGATATGACGTTTTGAACACCTGAGGGGCGCATATCACCCTCGGCCGAGGGTACGGGTATGCGCCTCGGGTGTTAAAAACGTCATATCCCACATAATAGTAGTCAACAACTGTTTTGTGATACCTCTGTCTTACATTCTTTGGATTTTGATGTAAAAATCACGAAAACAAACAGCAGAAAAAGACAACAATCATGACAATCGAAGTCGAACGTCAACTCGGGGCAAGTTCGCGCAAGGACTATAGTTAACCATTGTTCGACTAACGCTTGCCCGAACTCTGTCTAGTCGACGATGGTTAACTACGCTAGTCGACTATTTGGAACCAACCTACTGGGGTTGGTTGCTTCGCTGGTAACCATAGCCGCGCGCGTTCATAACGTACAGCAGGGAGCTAGGAGCCAGACGTTTTGCAATGACATTTTGACCAGCGTTCGACTAGAGACGTTCGCACTTTGCTATTAGTGCGCAGGCGTAAGGTACGTCACAAATCGACCACTAGTCGACTAATGGTCCTTGCCCGAACTTGGCCTCACATGCATGTCGCGTGCCCGAAACAGCTGATCGTCTGCTAATTCGCTGCTCCCACTCATGTGAGAAAACATGGTGAAAATAGCGTGGGTACCAATGATACGTATTCAAGCGTTTCATACCGTGCGTACCGTATACGTATAATACTTAATAGTCATAGCACACTCCCTATGGGATATCCACAGGGAGTGTGCACAAACCCGTGTTCTAGGCCAATGAAATAATTGCCATACAGCAAAGTATAACAACACGGAATCCGTGAATATTATATCTTCTTTACAATATTACTTTAGGTCCTAGGCCTATATAATCTCTGTCACCGTTACTCCGTAGTTTCATGTAAATGAAACAAAAATTGAGGAAACCAAAATCAGAATAGCAGACAGCAAATGGGTAAATGGGTAGAAATTCTTCTTTAGGCCAAGTTAAAACTTTTTTTTAGCGTCCCCGCCCGCTTTCTTTTTGCAGGCATGCAACTGGGAAATCACAAAAAAGAGGAAATTCAAATTTTTCCCAGACTTTGTACAGTGTTTTTCTATTTTCAATGGCACACATGGGAAGTAAAAAAAGAGGAAATCAGCTGATCCGAGGAAAAGTTGCATGCCTGTTTTTGGAGGCCGCCTCCTCTGAAGGATAAATTTTAAACAGTGTCATCATTTTGGCCTCTTTGTCTGTTGTATCTAGCCCATACGAAGCTGGTATGTCATTTCCTGAGTCCAAGTGGCGGTCATTTAATAAAAAGAAGCTTGCGGCAATCTTGAAAAATAGCCCGGTCGGGCGGCCATTTTGGATGGGGAAAAGAGCCTCCTCCTTCCTTTTTTTTTCAAAAAGGCAGGACGCTAAAAACATTTTTTTTTTACTTGGCCTTAGCTGTAATTTTTCCCGAAGTATGAAATTATTATCTTGTCACTACATACATAATTTAATGTACACAATTCTGTGGTTCCCGGCTATTTATCTTTTTTTTTTACCGACAATTTGGAAAGGGAAGGGAAATTTATTGTGCAGAGTTCCTCTGTGACTATGCCATCACGGTGCTTCTTTTACGCAGGCTTATATGTTTGTTTTGGTCAGTCAGAACTGTTCACACACAGTCAAAACGGCACTCAGAAAATCACATTCAGATTTGCTGTAAATCAAAGTAAAAGGCCATACTGCTCGGCCATTATACACTGTGATTTAGACTGACATTTGTGAAGTTACAAACAAGTAAAACTTACCTAACCAATCATCCAAATTCCTGAACGCTGCTTGAGACAAGTTTTCTTCCAAAACAGCAAACATGCAACGCACGGTGTATTGAACGTCAAGGGGAAAAATGGCGTCTGTCCATGTCGAAACACACTATACAAACAGCTACGGTATCCAGGTCTTCAACTCAACCCCTCTAACATTGAAACGCAGTACGCGCAAGGTCCTACGGTGATTGGTCATTAGTTTTTCGGTGAGAAAAAGACAGACGCTCATTGGTCCCAAGTGTTTTGGTCCTGAGTGCAGTCCTGCCTACCTGGCTTACGGTATGCACATATTTGCATAACAATGGCAACAGGTGTTTCGTTGTGGCTAGCGGAAATGTTTTGTGCCGACTGAAGACTTTACATGTACATGAAAACCAATATTCAATGCCTGTACTGAAAAAGTAGTTCAGATCCACAGTTGGTATACAATCAAAACAGGGGGGAAGTTGTAACTGTCTAAATTTTGGAAGGGATCATTGACATTGCTTAAATTTGACCGTGATGTTATGGAAATGTGTTACGGCATGCTTTTCTTTACATTTTACATTTAAAACTTTTGCTGCACAAAAAAAGCTGTCTGTGTTGATAATTTTCATTTTATTAATACGCTGTATTTGCAGTGAATTTTGGGTGGCACAATATCTATATTGTAATTCTCAAACAAGGCCACGAAACAACTTGTAAATCACGAACGTTTACCCCCCCCCCCCCTCCCAAAAAAAAACCAAAATAAAAACAAAAAACTGACTTACAACTCCGGTGAAGGATTTCGTGGCATTCCTTTTACTGGACGAATTTAACAAGGTTTAGCCTTCTGTGTTTACATCTTCTCGATTGGAAATACCTGTCCCATTTCTGTCCCTTGTGCAAGCGGCAAGATGCCCACTGATTAAAACGCCAAGATAGGGTAGAACGGGTTGCCGTGAAGAACCATCAGAAGCAAAACATTTCTTTCAAGTCATCGCAATTTCACTCTTGTTTTTTAAAGGTGTGATGAATTTCTTTTGTGTGATTTTTTTTCTCTCTTAAAAAAAAAGGAACCGTTCATATATTAAGGGCCAGCTTGAAAAAAAATACTAAATAAGATATTTAATTAAAAAAAAATCACAGAGAACAATATTTTAATACAGATGTTTAATTAAGGGAGAGTACATGTATAATGAACAGAGGCAGAATGTTCTCTCACATTACTGCAGCCGCAATTACTTAAAGGTGACTGTATGGTATCGTTGTTTACATGCTGAGGCAGAACTACACTTTTCATCTGTCGACCATCGCTAATTGGTTTCCCCTTTAATGACGTCCGGAGCCCAAAGCGGTGAATACATTATGTTTATAGGGAGCACAGGGATTCGGAAAATTCAAATATGAAATAAGTTTATTTTGGTTATTATCCATTTAATATTGTTTATTTATTTGACAATATGAAAAAGACAGACGATTGAAAATTTAACCATAAACAGAATAAATGTTTGTTTTTTTAAATGTTGATGTTTTGTTAATCAAGTTATTCCAATTATTTTCGTTGAGTCTTTCAATATTCACTATATGCTTCTAATATTGACTTATATTTCCCAGGTTTTAAGAGTGCGCTTATTCCCGCAGTTTTAAGTGTGGTATTGTATGCGTATTTTTTAAGCCAAACACAAACCGAATATTTGCGCAGGGTTATTTTTTTTCTGTCAAGAAATATTCGAATAGTGTTTTATAAAAAAAAAAAAAAAAAATTATACAAACCGAATATTTGCGCAGGGTTAATATTTTTTTTCTGTCAAGAAATATTCGAATAGTGTTTTATAAAAATATATCAATATTCGATATTGTGTTATACATGTGTTGCTATTTTATGCTTTTTTATATATCTATATGAAGAGAGATTTGAGCAACAATGGCACCTGACAATATGATCGGACTTAAACATTGTCGCCGTATGTGATTTAAACAGGCATGCAACTGGGAATTCACACCAAAAAAGAGGATATTCAAATTTTTACACAGTGTTTCTCAATTTTTAATGGCACACATAGTGGGGCAGATAGGGGAAACATTTGGGGGAATTGTGCCATTGATGATACAAGCATGGAATTTGGCACAGTCATGAGAAAGATATTTGGCTATAGGGCCATCGCACATTTCTCAGGTTCGTGGGGGGGGGGGGGGGGGGGGGGGGCGCAACGGCTCATTCAAGTGAAAAATGGGCTTATTTTACAAAATTTTTGTCACTGTCGGGGGGGGGGGGGGGGGGCGCACGCCCCCGTAGCACCCCCTGGATCTGCCAATGAGACTAGCAAGCGATTTTCAAATATTTAAAATGGCTATCATTGCTTGTTATTCTACCTATATTTTTTCAAAGGAAAAATCTGCGATGGCCCTATAGCCAAAAATCTTTCTCATGACATACTCTGTGTGCCAATTCCATGCTTGTATCATCAAAGGCACAATCCCATCACCTATCTTCCGTACTAGCATCAGAAGTTACATAAAGAGGAAATGAGTTGATCCGAGGAAAAGTTGCATGCCTGTAAGATA